ATAATATTATTATTTAGCAAAAGGCAGAAAGAGAATTTATTTATCCATTAGTAAACTAATACAAACCCGCGCACAAATGATAATATACTTTTTTGAATTTCTTCAAATTGTACTGCTTTGTCGGTATTAATGTGATGTGTGAAGTCACTGTACACTTTGGTCTTACGGGAGGGAGAACGTTCGGAGTTGAAGTACGGGTTGCTCTTCAATTTTTAACCACTTTTTCGGAACAATTTCAAGGGCATTTGCTAGTCTGCTTTGAACGCTGTCGTAGCGGGAAGTTTATCGATGACACTGATGAGAGAAGGGGAGGACTTTCGAGGTCGGGTAATTATTAATATAATTATAATAATAATATGAATATTGCTTTTGCAACCCTTGAGCATTGTTCAACTTAACGTAAGTCATTAAGATAAAGCGCGCTTGACCGTGTATGCCTAACGACAGGCACATTATTTTCGCGTCTTTTTTTAAACATGTAGTTTAAAGTGCATCTCGTGTTTAATTTTGTTGAATTTCAAATGGGAAAGAATAAAAGACAACGAGCGAAAAATCGTAAGGAGAAGGCGAATGAGAGAACTTTTAAAGCGACGTACATGGACGCGGTAAACGCGATCGCAGCAGAAGGTTTTCAGAATAGTGTACAACCGAGATTCTTGGAAACAACAGTCAGTCGAGAATACCACCACAGAGAGCTCGCCAAATTATCTGACGCCTACGAGGAAAAGTTACTCCACCAGCAAAGTAACCATCAAGCTCAATTGGAAGCACTTCAATTGGAAATTCTTCGTTCCAAGGGGTCACCCGAAGCTGAGAAATCGCCTCCCTGTTCCGTGAATGAAGAAAACAATACAGTTGAGAAATTTCAAGATGACGTGAATCCGTCAGATTTACCTTCTTCTCAGGACGCAGCACCGGCAGTAAGTGAGAGATCCCAGCTGATGAAGGAGCTTGAAGATTATTTACAATTTCCCGAGTGTAAAACGCAAGAATCGCCCCTCGATACAATTGAGTGTATAGATATCACATCATCGCCATACCCACCCGACCTCGAAATTCCTCCCCTTCTCTCATCAGTGTCATCGATAAACTTCCCGCTACGACAGCGGTCAAAGAAGAGGTCACGCAGACTAGCAAAAGCCCTTGAAATTGTTCCGAAAAAGTGGTTAAAAATTGAAGAGCAACCCGTACTTCAAGAAATTTCTCCGAACGTTCTCCCTCCCGTAAGACCAAAGTGTACAGTGACTTCACACATCACATTAATACCGACAAAGCAGTACAATTTGAAGAAATTCAAAAAAGTGTATTATCATTTGTGCGCGGGTTTGTATTAGTTTACTAATGGATAAATAAATTCTCTTTCTGCCTTTTGCTAAATAATAATATTATTTCATTGTGTGTAAATAGTAAGTACTAATTTCAAACAAAAATTATTTTTGAATTAAAATTAGTTATTCTAAATTTTAATTCCTAAAATATCTTTTTTATTCCAAAACGCGTATAAAAAGACAGGGCTAGAGCAACAATGTTTGGTGCTTAAAGTTCCGAGGTTGATCTTTTTTCCGGCTGGTGTGGGGATCGGCTTGCGAAGAGTTCTCTCTTCAGCAGTCGCGACCAGTTGGAGATCAATTTGAGGAGTTTAGATAATTTAATTTGGAATTTTAATCAATTTGATATTCAATTATTTACAGTTTTATAAATAACTTCAAATTTTTATTACATTAAAATTATTTATTCTGGAACCAACTGAAAAATCAATTATTCTAAATTTTAATTCATAAAATATATTTTTTAAATAGGACTTCTGGTTTGGTTATAGAGCAGATCGCATGCGTGTAGTATTTGTCTTGGTTTTTACAAAGTTTTGGTGGATGGTCGTATTTCGCGAGGGTTGGAGTGAGTTTATTCGAGAGGGCATCAAGTCCTGATTAGGTGGGAGTGTTATCTTGGCGATTTATAGTGATCCTTGTTATGCTTTTTTTAAGCAAAAAATGCAAAAAAATTAATTTTCTTGAAAAAATCTTTAAAAAGTCGTAAAAACTAGACACAAAATCGAATCAAAATATAAAAAAACACGTATTTCTTTATTTTTCAAGTAGAATAACATACTTCATTCTGAAATTAATTCGCAATATATCATCGGACTGCCTGCATGATTTGACATGGATTCGTTCATTATATTATAATTATAATATGTAAATGTAATTATACAAAGATTCTTTGAAAAAATTCTTTATAATCTTTGTTTTGAAAAGATATTCTTTTAAAATTTAAGATTAAATGTTATTGTTAAAGAAATATCGACTAGCATCAGAAATACAGATTCTTTGAGGTGACTGCACTATAGTTGTTTATATTAGTAATATGTAATAGAAATTAATATTATTTAAACAAACAACTTTAAATAAATAACAAGTAAACTTAATCAGTCATTTTAAAAATTACAATTTACAATGTAGTATTAAAAATTTATAAAAATAAATGACAAAATTATTTTTTTATAAAATAGAGCAAGTAAGCCAAACTTTTTCACTTGTTCTACTAATGAAACTTTAAAGCTCCAAAAATTTAATGATAACCTATTTTATATATTTCATGAAAGAATTATATTTTAAAAAAATGTTTTAATTTTAAGTGCGCTCTCTGTAATCTAATTATTATTCTGATTCTAGATCGCGAAATCGGGTATTCCTTTAAAATTTATTTTATTGTAAAATTATTTTAAAATGATTTTTCATAATTTTTATGTTCTTTAATGAAAAGAACCTTTTAAATAATTACTGTACCATTCTTTTATTAAATAATAATTTTTAGCCTTAGTTATATGTACTTTTCAGACGAATGTTCATTTATTGGTGCATGTTCATTCACTGGGGCAGTCACCCTATTATAAATTCGGTTTTTGAACTTTTAGTTTAGAATATATCGAAAAACTGACATTCTTGAACTATTCAGAGGTTAGATTTAGATTCCGCACGTTAAGAACCCTGACACCTCTTTCAGAACTGCACCCGTCTTTATATCTACACAAAAAAAAACTGAACTCAGAATGAGCCGTGTTGGCGGCTCATTTTGATGTGCAATAAAAATGAACCAGGTTGGTGGCGTCACTATCTATGTCGTTTAGCATTGGCTCATTTTGATTTGCAACAAAAATGAGACTAGGTTTTTTCTGTGTCAAGTCGACAGCTTTTTGCTTTAAACTATTGCTTTATTTTTGCTGATTTATTATTTTCTCACTGTCCGGTTCGTGATTGTGATTTAAATTACTTTCAACTATATCATATTTTTCATTAATTTTAAGTTTTAACGAATGCCTTGCACATTTTTTTGGAGCATGCCCATCGTTGTATTTCATTTTTTTTTTGTAAAGAAATTTTTCTATAGCCTCAATCGATGCCTGTTTTGGCAGCTCAAAAAGTAAAGCCGTCCAATATGTCCTTTAACGAGGATTATTTGCAAGGCCAAATTATTTGGGCGACAGGAGCCAATTGTAGAATTAGCTAATAGGACAGTCCAATAAATGTTTCGTCGCAGTGCTCTTTATTAAGAGTAAAAGCTTCTGTTCAAAGTAAAATCCTAGTAAGTCGCTTCTCCATAAGTTTGAAAGTCAATAGTTCTGACCAAACGATTTTCACCCTTATACGGAAAAGCGACTTAGTAGGTTTCTACTTTGGACAGCAGAATCGGACTACCGCGGTAATTAGGTACAATTACTTTGAACAAATTAGAGTGCTTAAAGCAGGTTATCATTTACCTGCATATTCTTTACTTATGATGATGGAATAGCATTTTTCTTATATTTTGTTGGTTTTAAGAAACTCGAGGTAATACGATTAACAGTGATATCTGAAGGCATTTGTATTGCGTCATTAGAAGTAAAATTCTTATATCATCACAAGGCAGACTGAAGTGAAAGCATTTGCCAAGAAAGGTTTTCATTAATCAAAAACGGAAGCTAGAGATTCAAAGGCAATCAGATACTCCTCTACTTAGTGTAATAATCAACGATTCCAGATTAGGTAACGATATACTAAAGTTTCTCTAAAAATTCTTTCCCAGACTTCTGGGAAACTAAAGCTATTACTCCGGTGCCAGTGTCACAAGAGTTTGGTAATGTTATTTTTATTGGCGTCAGCATATCGGCTAGTCGGTGGCAATGTTAGAAATTTATTTTTCTTATTAACATCTTTCATTAAAGTCACTTTTAAGCAAATTTAATGCATGTAGTAGTACTACTAGGAGAGAACGAGGAGAGGTTTAATTCTCGGCTAAAATACCTACAGTGGGTAACTTACTAATTGTCGGTAATGTAGGGATCTGTTACAAAATTTATTTCAAACGATAAGGTAGGGATCTCCTTTATCGACCATTAATTGTTACTAAAAAAGGTAAGTTGCAATAATTTATTTATGATTACGTATAAAATTACCTTAATTAATTATTAGTAAAAATAAATTATTATAACTTAACTTTGTTAATAACAATTGAAGGCCAATAAAATAAATCTCTACATTAGCGGCCGAATCAAATTTTGTAACAGATCCCTGTCTTACCAACAGTCGGTAAGTGACCGACCGAGCAGTTACCGACTTAGTCGAGAGTAAAACCTGTCACCGTTCTCTCCTAGTAATACTAGGAATAATATAATACTAATATTATTTTGATCCAAAATAAAAATGATTACCCAGAACGTTGGATCACTTGACTCGTGTGTTATTCATAATAATATAAAAACTGCTTTTTACTCTGATGAAAGCTAATTTATTTCAGTTGGTCATATTTTTAAAACAATTTTTTTTTAAAGAAAATAAAACCAACATTTGAGACAAAATGGATTAATGAAAAATTATTTTCCAAATTTTTTCTTTACTATCGTAAATTGCGATCTGCGCACTATGCGATAATAATTAAATAAAGTGCTTTAAACAGGGGGTTTAAGAGAAGAAGAAGAACAAGAACAAGAAGGGGAAAAAAACACAAAAATATCAAGGACTTACCTGTCAGGATTGTATTCTAGTGCATTTCGACAGATCAAATCAACATCATCGAGAAAATCACGAGCACAAAGATACGAGTGCATATCAATTTTTGTCATCATCGTTTCCAAATCCATTGGCTGCTCAATGATTGTATTATAATCAGGCACCTCATCCGTGTCGACCGGCTTTGTAAACATAAAAAATCTACAAAAAAAAAAAGAATTTAAAAATATAATTATGAAAAATAATTCTTTTTTTTCACAAAATTTTGAAAAGAATTCTCACTGTCTATTTCTTGCAAGTTTGGCACAAATTTCCCGCAAAAATATTCTTAATTCTCGCAATGAAATTTCCTCTTTATCGTGAAGTAATTGTTTCTCCTCTTCGGAGAGTTTCTTTGGCATTGGCTCGGGTGCAATTGGCAATTCTTCAAGAACACGTGGTTTATCGAGTTTCACGTGTGGTGGTTTTAAGCTTTGCACAAGAAAAATATGTTTAAAAAAGACAAATCGTTGATCATCAGTTGGCGAACTCATTGAATGAACTTCACCGCGTAGTTCACTAAATAAATTCTTTAACTGATCGGGTAGTTCACTGTATGATGTATCACTGGTGGCAAGAATGAGAATTGGCAATGGCGGATCCAAGGACGCAATTCGACAGAGAAAAACGGCTTTCACTGTTTCGGGAACGAGAGGCCACCATTGATCAATTGATCTTATGTAAATAATGGACGGTACATTTCGTGAGGCCTCATTAAACACCTGAACACACGTTTCCTCTGGTGATCGTGCACTCTCAGCGAAAAGTGCGCTTACATCCAATGTTTGCACTGGCACATGTTCCATACGATAGATCAAGGCCTGAGCAAGTCTTGGACCTTGACATTGTGCCATTGGTCCACCTGATATTAATAATCGTGGCCTATGAACGCCCTTTGCCACTTTCACTCTGTTGACAAAAAATGTACTAATTTTCTTTTGCACTGTAAATGGAAAGGACAATAACAAAAAAAAACAAAAGCTTACTTTGCCAAAGCTGGATTAATGCCCTGTGGAAAAATTCCCTTGACTGCGTCAACAAGATGAGAGAGCGAGGGTCCTAGGAGTGGTTCCATGAACGCTTGGAGTTTCCTACCGGCACATGGCGTCACTCTGTGAGACGACGGAACAAGAAGTGAACTCGCCTTTATGAAGTCTTTCTTTTTCACCTACGCAAGATTAATAAGATTTTTTTTCTTAATAGAGTACTTTGAAATAATTCTTAGCTTCGTCTATTTTATGTTTTACTATTATTATTTTTATTTCCTTCTGGCTATCTGTATTGCTATTCCCTTGAATTAAAACTTTTTCACCCTTTTCTTTGTTATTTAAACCCAATATTTTCTCTCTCCACTTACACAGAAATCAGATCCCAATTTTCATTCTCAAATCCATAAATTCTGTTTTCTGTTCATTTATACTATACTTCAAAGAATTTCTATACAATCTAATTTATATTTAATATTATTGTCATTTAACAGAAATTCTACTTAGTTAAATTTTTAAGACAGAAAATTTCTATTTCACCGATACTTTATTCGACCAAAGTTTCACTTATCCGAATTTTCATTAGATAGAAATGTTAAAACGTCGAATTTCCATTTAACAGAACTTTCATATATCAGATCATGCATTTGGCAGAAACAATTCAGCGGGAGATTTAAAATCAACCAATCAAAAATTATTAAGAAAACTGTAATTGGTTAATTTGAAAACTCCCGCTGAAATATTTCTGCCAAGTGTATGATCTGATATATGAAAGTTCTGTTAAATGGAAATTCGACGTTTTAACATTTCTATCTAATAAAAATTCGGATAAGAGAAACTTCGATCAAATAAAGTATCGTTGGACTAGAAATTCTTTGTCTTAAAAATTTAACTAAGTAGAATTTCTGTTAAATGACAATTCTATTAAATAAAAATTAGATTGTATAGAAATTTTTTGAATAAAACTTTTGTTAAATATAATTTCTTTTAATTGGAAATAATGTTAATAAAAATACTTTTAAGTGAATATTCAGATAAAAAGAAATTTGACAAAAGAACAATTCTGATAAATAAACATTCTTTTTTATAAAAATTTTTCTAGACATAAATTTTGTTATATGGAAATTGTATTATTTGAAAATTCGATATATTAGAAAAATCTGTTTAAATTTACATATATAGAGAAAAGTGAGATTTAAAGGATAAATTTTTCTAGTACAGTAATTTAATTATTTTTAAATATCATTTTCAATGTTTTAAAAAAAATTGAATGGCATACATCTAATAAATAAACGTTTATTATTTTTTTAAACTTATTTTAAAACTATTTTTCCACAGAATGAAAATTACTTTTAAACTAATTTTTTTCTTGAAAAATGCAAGTAATTTTTTATTTTATCAAACCGAAAACCGTCTTGTAAAATAAACAAAACTTGATTTTATTAATATTTTTCAAAGAAACTGAAATTTTAAAGTTTAAATTAAATTAACTTTCTTGACAGTCATTTCTTTATTCGTAACAAAAAATATTCTTCATAAAGAAGAGCTAAAATTAATTTAAAAAAATAATGCTTCAAATTACCTCAACGCGTTCTGGATCAAGAAGAAGACGATTGCTCGATAAGTAAATTTGAGGATAAGTCCTCTTTAAACCCTGTATAACTGCCTCGGTGCAGAGAGCACGTAAATCCGAGCCACAATAACCAGTCGATTTTTCTGCCAGCGCCTCTAAAAGATGATCGGCCGGTTGATTTTGCCATTTTTTCACGTGTATCCTCAATATTTCGAGCCTCTCCTTCATTGCTGGATGCGGGAAGAAAAGCTCCCGATCAAAACGTCCCGGACGTCTCAATGCGGGATCAATTGCATCTATCCTATTAGTTGCTCCTATAACTATTACCTAAAAAACAAGATAATAAAAAAAATTATTTATTATTTTTTATTGTGAAGCCTTAAACTGTGCTCCAGGTTTCTATTTTTTTGCGTTTAAAAATGTAGTTCTCTCCATTCGAAATAATTTTCACTGTAGTTACACAAAAAGTAAATTTTATGATTAATTAGAAGAAAAAGAAACAATTTCTCACCTCTCCCCGATCGCTGAGACCGTCCATAAGTGCCAGCAATGTTGACACAATACTTGCATGAATTTGATCTTGTTTTGTACTTCGAACAGGTGCAAGGCCATCGATTTCATCGAAGAATATAATTGATGGTTTCATTTGTTGTGCTTGCTCGAATAGTAAACGTAATTGACGCTCAGATTCGCCAACCCATTTTGAAAGACAATCAGCGCCTTTACGCATAAAAAATGCAACCTTTCTATTCGCTTGACTACATTCATTTGCTAAAGCGCGCGCTATCAATGTTTTTCCAGTTCCAGGCGGTCCATGAAACAATACACCCTTCGGTGGCGTTATGTGAAATCGTTCAAAAACATCGGGATACATCATTGGAAATACAACCATTTCCTTGAGACAATGAATGTGCGATTCCAATCCACCGACATCGGAAAAACTTATATTTGTGTCCAATGTAATGGGACTAATGTCAGCTTTACGATCTGGTGGACCACCTTGTGGTATTGTCGATTGTCTGTTATTGCAAAAAAAAAAAAAATTTATTTATATTGTTTAATAAAATATTAAACTTTCAATACTTATATATAATTTTAAAGGGGCGCATGAATATTATCCACGCTTCAATTTCTTTGTTAGCAAATATTATAAAGCAAAATTTATATTAAATTAACTTTTCATATTTAAGAATTTTTATTTAACCCTTAACTGGCACAATTCAGCGTTCGAACATAAATGGCGCAACAGGTCTGCTTGACCCGACGTATATTCAAACGTGTATTGTACAGCCGGTATTGAATATTTTTGCACAAAAATTTAATCTGAGGTAGCTTATGATGTGTTTTTTAAAATGAAATTAGTGCTACAGGGATTAATCTATTTTAACCCTTTGCGGCATAGTGACACTCCTGAGTGTAACCTTTTTTCTTGCACTTTTTTTAATACTTCAGCCACTATTTTACACATTCCAGTAATAAAATGTATTTTAGAATATCTATTACAATATAACTACATTAAAAAAGTGATTTTTATAAATAAAATAAATGTTATAAACAAATTAAGTTTAAAAATAGCGTTTTTTTTACAATAAATGTAATTATGACTAAACAACAATAGGAAATAACCTAACAATAATGTCTATAAAGTTTTCGGGGTCGCTGATTACGAATCTGGCATCAGATTTTCAAAATTCAAAATGGCGGATCCAATATGGCGGATGACAAAATGAAAAATTGATCGGATTTGCTTGAAACTAGTAACTCGTGGGTTTTTGGGGGCGCTGATTACAAATATGACGTTAGATTTTCAAAATTCAAAATGGCGGATGAGAAAATGAAAAATTGATCAGATTTGCTTGAAACTTGTAACTCGTGGGTTTTTGGGGGCGCTGATTACAAATATGACGTTAGATTTTCAAAATTCAAAATGGCGGATCCAATATGGCGGATGAGAAAATGAAAAATTGATCAGATTTGCTTGAAACTTGTAACTCGTGGGTTTTTGGGGGCACTGATTACGAATATGACGTTAGATTTTCAAAATTCAAAATGGCGGATCCAATATGGCGGATGAGAAAATGAAAAATTGATCAGATTTGCTTGAAACTTGTAACTCGTGGGTTTTTGGGGGCGCTGATTACGAATATGACGTTAGATTTTCAAAATTCAAAATGGCGGATCCAATATAGCGGATGAGAAAATGAAAAATTGATCAGATTTGCTTGAAACTTGTAACTCGTGTGTTTTTGGGGGCGCTGATTACGAATATGACGTTGTACTTTAAAAATTCAAAATGGCGGATGACAAAATGAAAAATTGATCGGATTTGCTTGAAATTTGTTACTACGGTGTTTTTGATGTCGCTGTTTATGAATATGACTTTGGATTTTTATAATTCAAAATGGCGCTTTTGTGTGTATGTGTCTGTGATCAATTTGATCAATTTTAACAAAATTGTCCGCTATATTGGATCCGCCATTTTGAATTTTATAAAACTGACATCGGATTCGTAATCAGCGACCCCGAAAACCCCTGAGTAACCAGTTTCGAGCGGATATGATCAATTTAAAAAAAAATTGTCCGCCGTATTGGATCCGCCATTTTGAATTTTGAAAATTTTTTTAAATCTGGCTTCGGATTCGTAATCAGCGACCCTTAAAACCACCTATAATGCACTTCAAAGATAAATTCCTGTTAAAGAAAAATGTATGCTTCAAAGGGTTAAGTTAGTTATAAAAAAAATTGTGAAAAATAAAAACGAAAAATTGCGTGTTTTTACTTGAAAATTCATGAGTTATTTAAATTTTAATATTATGACTTAAAAATTTAAGGTTATGATGTATTATTATTTAAGAAAACGATTACCACAACAGCCGGATTTGCTGGTAAAAATGGTATTTAATTAGTAAAATGTGACTTTTAAGGTTAAAATAAAAAATTTATCATTAATTCATTATACAGGCACACAAGAAAAAGTTTTTTGGCCGAGACACTACACTAGTGTATTCTCATGTATTTTTCGCCGCTAAATCCGAAGTCAGAATAGTCAGATTCGCTCTTGTTTTTGAGTTATACTAAAAAAAAACTAATTACTTTAAAAAAAAATATTTTAATGTTACTACAAAATGACACCGGTCATTGTAGAGGGAGTAACTGTGCAACGGCGTGGTAACTTTAAATATTCATTAAAGTTGAAAAAGAAAAGAAGAAGCGATTGTTGATAGTTTAATTAGCGAAAGAGAAAAAGTATATATAGGTACTCTTATAACGAGAGGAAAATCAGCTCGAGAATAAAATTGTTGAGAAGGCAACCAACTCAACAATGAGATTTGGAAAAGCGTAGGAAATACGTTACCGACTCGGCTAAGGACAAAAAATTCATGAAGATTTAGCAAGTTTTTGTTATTCTTCTTCCCGCTGAATCCGAATTCGAAGTCAGAATTGTCCGATTGGCTCAAAATTTGGAGAAAACTCTATAATTTACTAAAAAAGCACAAATTAAAGTCAAAAAAGTAGTCAATTTTTTTTCTGTTACACTAATTTAGTGTTTTCGCATACATTTCTTCCCACTGAATTCGAATTTAAAGTCAGAATTGTCACATTGGCTAAAATTTATTGAGAATTTAAAAAACTGCTCAAAGCGGAAAATTTTTGTGCAATGACACTACGCTAGTGTATTGACTTATTTAAATTGTTTGTCGATGGTATCGGAAGTAAATTTCCGACAACACTGAAAAAAGGGTTTGGTATTGACAACCAAACGTTTGGTTGGTATTTAAGCAACCAAAATTTTTTTGTTGAATCAACAAAATTTTAATTGTCTCAACCAAAATTTGTTTGACACAACAAAAATTAGAAAAAAAGGATTTTTGTTGTCCTAAATAAAGTTTTATTGGGACAACCAAAATTTTGTTGATTCAAAAAAAAAATTTTAGTTCCTTAAATACCAACCAAACGTTTGGTTGTCAATACCAAACCCATTTTTCAGTGAAGGATATCCAAAGCTTAGGATAGAAAATAAATAGTCTCATTTTTGTTGCATCTCAAAATAAATCCATGTTACATGACATAGAATCTGTTTGGCTCATTTTTGATGCGTATGAAATTGAATATGAATTTCATACTCATTTTGATACCAGGTTTTTTTAAATGAGGTAAATTTAAAATCTAGATTTGAACTGAATAGGAAAATGATATCATTGTAATAGAATAAGGTTTCAACTAAAAAATTCTCTTTAACATTTGCATTTTTTAACATTTTTTTAGTTTTGATTAAAACATAGAGCTGATCTGACAATTCTGACTTCGAATTCGGATGCAGCAGGAGAAAATACATGGGAATACACTAGTGTAGTGTCTGGAGCAAAAAAATTTTCCTTTTTTTGATTTTAATCCGTTTTTTTAGCAGTTTTATGAGTTTATCTCAAAATTTTGAGCCAATCGGACAATTCTGACTTCGAATTCGGATTCGTCGGGAAAAAATACATAAGAATATACTATTGTAATGACAAAAATAATTTTTTGTTTATTTTAATTAGTTTTTTTGAGTTGTTTTTTGAGTATAACTCAAAAATATGAGCCAATCTTACTATTCTGACTTCGGATTTGGATTCAGCAGCGAAATTAGTTGTATCAAAAAAGAAAATTACTAAGAATATGTCAAACTAATATATTAAAATGCATAAAATATTCAAAAGCTACACATTTAATTAATTTGAGCTCGATAAAATGCTCCGGTCTACTGGACTCATGGCTTAATTATTATTTGTACTAAACATCGCTTAAACTAATTTTTATTTGACCTGATTTTTATATAACTTAATTCTCATTGTCCATACAACTTTTACGCCAATTGAACTTAAGTAAATTAAGTGTTAGGATATTTGAAATTTTGGAGAAAATTCATGCGTCTCGACAAAAGTATCACTCAAATTTAATGAATTGAAAAATTGAATTATCGAAATTTCATTTCAAAATAATCAAAAATTATTCTATAACGAAAATTTTGCGAAGTCGCTTTTAGAAGACACGTAAAGTTATAATAATTTCCTATATAGTTTAAAAAGTTTTCTTATATTCAAAAAACATCAATATTTTCCATTTTTTGAACGTTCTTTAAATAAACATATATACGTTCTAAAAATGTTTTAAGAATAAAGATTTGTCTCTGTTCGCTGTGTAATTTGATTATTAACCCATTTTAGTCCCAAATATCCGTTTTTTTTAAATTCAAATTCGAATATTGAATTTTTTCCAAAGCGATTTCGATTAGAAAATCTAATTTCGAATAAAAAAAGAAATACTCAAAAAAATGGGCTTTTGAAATTTTCTTACCGAATCTGAACGAAGACACTCAAAAGCATAAAAAAATGGATGCCGAATTTAATTTTTAAAAAATTAATAAAATTACCTCGCTTTTTTGCTCTTCTTCTTGTCATATCTTTGGGGTTCAGAATCGCTCGAGTCACTCGAACTTGAGCTCTTGCTTCGATGTTTGCGTCGTCTTATCGAATTGCTGAGAACGCTTCTTAGGGCTCGAATCGATCTTCGAACTGGTTCAACATTCGCCTGGAATCTATCGACAGTTGGCTTTTTCTGACGTAAACTGTATTTTCGCGGACCTGGCGTGTCCGTTGATTCACTCATGTCACTGTCCTCGACTTTAAAATGTAAATAAATAATTCATTATTATTAATTGCTTCCTCTTCCTTAGAGAAAGTATTTTTTATTATTATCATCTTGATGTTTCAATAGAAAATATCAATAATTAACCCTTGTAATTTAAAATTAAATAATCTATTTTAAAAATAATGAATGAAATCTAAAAAATTAAGTCTTTTGGCAAATAATTACCTGCCAATTTCTTACTCCTCGATAATTGTCGTTGTGATGTTCGCCTCGTTCTTTTGACCCGCGTATACATATCCGTGTAACCCTAAAAATAGCAAAAAAATTAATAAATTACATCAAGTAATCACCTTTTTTGATACGGACTTAATAAATTAAAATTTGAATTTCTTTTTTTTAATTTTATTAGAAATAATTAGTTTTTAGTCGAATTTTCATTTTTCGAATTACCATTCGCCGGATTTTTTTTTTCATAGGAATTTTTGCTTAACAAAATTTTTAACTACTTACCGAATTTTTGTTTAGCAAAATTTTTATTTTCTAGTCATTTAATTTACATGACTTTTTATTTAAAAGAATTTTAATTTAGTAGAATTCTCATTCAATCTCATCTTATTTTTAAATGACAGAAATTCCAATTCACCGAATTTCAAATTTGTACGAATTTTGAAGTACGCTGAATTTTCATTGGTCCGAAATTACAAAAAACAAACCATCGACAAAAAGATTTCGGCGCAATTTTTGAAAATTGACCAATTAGAAATTATCAAGAAAATCGTAATTGATGAATTTTAAAAATTGCACCGAAATCTTTCTGTTGATTATTTGTTCGGACAGATGAAAATTCAGCGTCTTAAAAATTCTATCGATTAAAAAAAATAAATTCTGTTTAATGCTAATTCGAAAAATGAAGATTCGTCTAAAAAAAATAATTATTTCTAATAAAATTCTTTTTAAAAAAATCTTGATAGGCAAAATTTGAAATTTTGTTCATAAAATTCAAAATTATTTTTAATTTTTTTAATTCTTACCGGTCCATTATCAGAATTATTCTCCGCTTTTTCACTTTCATGCGAACTCTCCTCATCGGCTTCATTTTCCTCAGCTTTGGCTTTATCCTTAAGCGAATTTCCGGAATGTCTCGTAATAGGCCCTTCTCTCAATCTTCCAGGACTGTCGGATTTGCGTGTTCTTGAAAAAAAAGAAAAAAAAAATTTTTGTTCAATCCGATTAATCACTCAAATTTCAAATATCACTGATCAAAAATGAAAAATAAATAAATACCTCGTATCTTTTTCCTCATTCGGTGTTCTCACATCGGATTTATCGTGTGCTTCTGATTTCACTTTAATCTCCCTCTCGTTACGTTCCTTTATGTCACGAATATTTTTCTCCCTTTCAGATCTTGTCTTATGATCGTGATTAGTTCCTCTCTCAACGACATGTTCACGCTCTGGTCTCTCACGTAATTCACGAATTGGTCTACTATCGTGTTCGGCTCGATCACGAATATGACGTGTCGTAACTTTTGACAACTGATGATTCTCCCTCGATCTAAGTGGCATTCGATCTCTGAGATCACGTTTTCGTTCTTGGACATCGTCCACCATTTCTTTCTCCGACGACGATCCATTTTGAGGGAACATTGGATATCCCTTCAATGTTTGTGTTCCTGAATCAAAAAAAAAAAAAGACGAATATATAAAAAAAAAAAAAAACGAAAGAAAATAAAAACAAACAAAACAAAATTATTATTTCTGAGTGTGGAAAAAAATATACTGAAATAAAATTTAGAAAAATAAGGAGTTTGCCAATGTTTTTTCATTATATTAAATTTTTTTTATCGGACGTAAAAAATTGAACAATCAGGATTGCCACGCTTTTGCAAAATTCCCCGACTTTTCCAGGTTTTTCAAGGACAAAGAACGGTATTTTTTTCAGAATATTTATGAAAACTTCTTCTTAAAACAGGAAAGAAACAAAAATGAATATATTGTTCACTTTTTTGTATAAATATAGAGACGCAATATTATATTCTAAAAATCATTAGTTAGAATTTTCATTTTATGAATATTTAATATTAATATTAATATTTTATATTTTTATTTGTTAAAATTATTTTTGAGCCGAATTTTTATTTTACAGAATTTTCATCAAAACGATTTTCTGCATTACAGAATTTTTATATAATTGAAAATTCACTTCACAGAATTTTTATTTGATCGATTTTCATTTATATAACACATATAGCATTTTAAAGAATTTTTATTGGTTAGAATTTTATTGCATAGAATTTTCATTTTATTCTTTCAAATGAATTTTCATTTGTTGAAATTATTAATTGATATAATTACCATATAACCGATTTTTCATACTATAGAATTTTTACCTAACCGAAAAATAATTTAACAGAATTTCCAATTAATAGAATTTTCATTTGTCCGAATAAATAATCGACAGAGAGATTTTGGCGCGATTTTTAAAATCAACCAATCAAAAATTATCCATAAAATTGTGATTGGTTGATTTTAAAAATCGCGCCAAAATCGATTGTTGTTTCGGACATTTGAAATTTCGGACAAATGAAAATTCTATCAATTAGAAATTCTGTCAAATAATTTTTCGGTTAAATAAAAATTCTGTTGTAGGGTCAATCCATTATATTTCGAATGAAGTGGTCGCTGACTAATTTTTAAAAATTATAATACTTTGCAGGAATGATTTTGAAGTTATCAAGATCACGAAATGAAAAGAATTTTATTAAAATTTTAATTATTTATTGCAAAATATGACTTTAAAGTATATGAGGTGCTGAAAACTGTCAATTTTTTAGCCATTAGAAAATATGCAAAAATACGTAGAATTTACTATAAAAATAAAAAAATTTTTTTGTAATTTACTAAGAATGAATAAATTTATCATTATCAATTGATGTAATTATTTAAATATGTGAAATAATATATAAAATATGATTTTCAAGTTCGCCTGTCAAATAACCTAAATTTGCAAATTTCATCTATTAAATGTGAGAAAGAGAAGTCATTAAATTGAAAAAAACCTTACCAAATATAAAGTACCTGTAACTAACTTTTAGTTTTTCTTAGCACTTTTTTCCTTTTTTCTTCATAAATGTGAAATAAAAAGCAATAAAAATTGGCACTTTGCTTATTTTCACTATTTTCAAATGTAAATAACTTTCTTGGAGAAAACTGAAAAATTACAAAACTTGGGCAATATCTAATTGATCACTAAATACACACACTGGAAAAAAATTCGCTTTGGTCCCGAAGATACTTTTTGAGATAATTAAGTTTAAATTTTTCACAATTTTTATGAGGTTAATGCATGTGATTTTTATAAAATTGAAGTTAGTTCAAAATATTTAACCAATAAAACCTAACTTCGTCCTTAAAAAACTACATGTATTAACCTGATAAAAATTGTGAAAAGTTTAAACTTAATTATCTCAAAAAGTATCTTCGGGACCAAAGCGAATTTTTTTCCAGTGTGTGTATTTAGTGATCAATTAGATATTGCCCAAGTTTTGTAATTTTTCAGTTTTCTCCAAGAAAGTTATTTACATTTGAAAATAGTGAAAATAAGCAAAGTGCCAATTTTTATTGCTCTTTATTTCACATTTATGAAGAAAAAAGGAAAAAAGTTCTAAGAAAAACTAAAAGTTAGTCACAGGTACTTTATATTTGGTAAGGTTTTTTTCAATTTAATGACTTCTCTTTCTCACATTTAATAGATGAAATTTGCAAATTTAGGTTATTTGACAGGCGAACTTGAAAATCATATTTTATATATTATTTCACATATTTAAATAATTACATCAATTGATAATGATAAATTTATTCATTCTTAGTAAATTACAAAAATTTTTTTTTATTTTTATGGTAAATTCTACGTATTTTTGCATATTTTCTAATGGATAAAAAATTGATAGTTTTCAGCACCTCATATACTTTAAATTCATATTTTGCAATAAATAATTAAAATTTTAATAAAATTCTTTTCATTTCGTGATCTTGATAACTTCAAAATCATTCCTGCAAAGTATTATAATTTTTAAAAATTAGTCAGCGATCACTTCATTCGAAATATAATGGATTGACCCTGTATGAAAAATCGGTTATATGAAAATTATTTCAAATAATAATTCGAACAAATGAAAATTCATCTGAAAGAATAAAATGAAAATTCTATGCAATAAAATTTTACTCAATATAAATTTTAAATGCAAATTATGTTAAATGAAAATTCGAGCAAATAAAAATTCTAAAAAATAAAAATTCGAACAAATAAAAATTCTATGAAATGAAATTTTTGATTATATAAAAATTCTGTAATACAGAAAATTGTTTTGATGAAAATTCTGCGAAATGCTAATTCGAACAAATAAAATTTCAGTTCAAGAATAATTATATGACAAATAAAATTCCATAAAATGCAAAATTTTAACTAATAATTTTTAGAACATAATCATGCGTCCCTAAATTTTTATAAACGGGTGAATAAATTTCCCACAAAAATCATTAGTTAAGAAATTCATTTTAAAAAATTTTATTAAATATAATTATTTTTTAGATGAATTATAAGTTTTCGAATTAGCATTTGAGAAAATTTTTTCTAAACAAATTTTTACCTAAAAAAAAATTGTAGGTTATTATTTTACCGAATTTTTCTTTATTCAACTTTTTATTTAAAAGAATTGTAATTTTAATCGAATTTTAATTTAGCATATTTCTCATTTAACAGAATTTTAAGTAATTCGAATTTTTAAATACCAGAATTTCCAATTCTCCGAATTTTCAATTGTTCAAATTTTTATTTCCATTAATTATTATTTGATAGAATTCTTAAAACGCCGAATTTTCATTTGTCCGAAACTGTAAATGGCAGACAAATAATAATCGACAGAAAGATTTTGGCGCGAGAATTTTAATATTAACCAATCAAAAATTATCAAGAAAATTGTGATTGGTTAATTTTAAAATTTGCGCCGAAATCTTTCTGTCGATTATTTATCGGACATATGCAGTTTCGGACAAATGAAAATTCGGCGTTTTAAGAATTCTATCAAATAATTAATACATGGAAATAAAAATTTAAATAATTAAAAATTTAGTAAATTTTAAAATTTGAATCACTTAAAAATTTAGTTGAATGAGAGTTATGCTAAATTAAAATTCAGTTGAACTACAATTCTACTATATAAATAGTTTGATAAATTCGTTGAAAAAAATAATTATATCTAATAAAATTCTTGAAAATTTTAATTAATGATTTTTATACGAGAATTAGTTAATATTTTAGAAATTTGTTGCTTTTAAATAGGACAACAATTTACCAAAGTATCAAGCTAATCACAGTACACTGAAAAAAAAATTTATTTGATTCAAATACCGGTGTATTTGGTTATTATCAAATAAATATTTATTTGAATCAAATATATAGTATTTGAATCAAATATTTCAGTATTTGAAGCAAATACAATTTATTTGATTCAAATAAGAAATATTTGATTCAAGTAAATATTTATTTGATAATAACCAAATACACCGGTATTTGAATCAAATAAATTTTTTTTTCAGTGTATTTTTAATTTTTGTTTAAAATAATATATTAAAAATTGTTTCTTTTCCGCAAGATTTGAAGGAAAATTCCCTGACATTTGGAGTGTTTTTTTACAGATTTACAAAATTCCATGACTTTTCAGGTTTCTAGTTAGCGTGGCAAACCTGATAATATTTTTCATTTTTTTTTTTTTTTTATTTAATTCTCAAGAATTTTGGTTGCTTCTAGATTTTAGTACCTAGAATCCAACTAGTGTTGAGATTATCGTATGTCTGCATTCTGTTGCGTGTACTACGCCGAACGCTGAGATTATGTCTTGCGGCAATATGTGGACTTGTTGAGGCGTGCGATCGCAGTGTGCGAAGGCTTTTTGTTCTTCGGGCATTTGGGCCAATGCTGCTGCGCCCGCGAGGGTTGAAAATATCTTCCTCCGTGTCCATTGAGTCCAGGGTGGCTTCATCGTCTGTCATTATCTGCCACCCAAAATTCAATCGACTTTTACAATGTTTTTTTTTTTTTTTTTAAATTCTCTCTCGACTCTCCCAACGAGAATTATTTATATTAATATCACGGAGAAAAATGGAAAAAAACGAATAAAGTAACTTTTACTACTTTAAAAGTAAAACCTGAAGTGTCTGCAGTTTTTGCGCATTTCTGTAAATTTTTACTCCAGAAATAGTAAAATTTACTATTTTCGGAATAATTTTTACTATTTTTGGAGTAAAAATTCCCAGGAATTGCGGACAGTTTAGGGTTTACTTTTAAAGTAGTAAAAAAAAAGTTACTATAAATTTCACGTGGAATCGAACATTATGTTATAAACGTTACTTTCTTCTGATACTGGTAACACGTTACTATAAAGGCTTCACCAAAGTAACAGAAGAATGTTACTATTTTTTTATATATGAAATGGTAACACGTTACCCTTTTTTTTTAATCAACAGTAACGCGTTACTATAAGCTTCTCAAAAGTAACAGAAGAAAGTTACAATATTTTATATAAGAAACCAGTAACGAAAAAAGAGGAATATTTTTTATATGTAACGGTAACACGTTACTTTATTTCTTTTAAAATTAACAGTAACGCCATTTTAATTCCAAAAATATTTTAAATGGAATTTCCTTATTTTAATTTTTTAATTTTAAATAATAAATAATAACTTTAATTATTTAAAAATATTAAAAATTTAAATAAAAAAATATATTTAAAATCTATTTATTAAAATATATTTACATAATAATTAAATTTAAAACATACTACTTTATTTAATTATTAAAAAACTAAATTATTAAAAATATAAAAATATTTAATAATTTATTATTAATTAAATTGATTTAAAAAAGTTTATTTATGAATTCAATTAAATTAAATTTTTATTTAATTCAAACTATATTTGCCCATTTAATTGATAAATAAATAATAAATAAATAACACTTAACTTTTAAATTTCAATTGTTATAATAATTGAATTTTTTAAAATTATTTTAATTTTTAATTCAAAATTTAAAAAAAAAATTAAAAAAAAGATAGTTCAATTATTATTTTCAAAATTTAAGTTTGTATATTATTATTATTATTATTGAAATGCAATTATTTAGGTGTATAATTACAGTAAAAAATAATTCAATTATTTATAAATTTAATTATAATTATTTAAATTCATTTAATATTTATTTTTCAATTTTAAATGATACCCGTAAAATATATTTATAGAAATTACAGTAGTTGATTTTTTTAAATAAAAAATAAAATAAAAAAGAAGTTTTAAAAATAATTAAAAAAATTTATTTAAACTATTAATTACTTAATTAACAGTAAAAATTAATTTTCTAAACAATTTAATTACATTATAATTTAAATTGTTATTAAAATAATTCGATTTTCAAAATTTAATTTTCTTTCAATTAAAATATTTAAAATTTAAGAGAATTAATTTTTTAATTTAATTTCATATTAAATTATTATTATTTTTAATTATATTTTTAATTATTCGCATTTAATTATTTTTCTATTATATTCTATTTTTTTTTAATTTTTATAAATATATTTAGTTAATTTTTATTTTAAAATTTATTATATTGAAAAATTTTTTATATGTAACGGCCACTCGTTACTCTTAACGTAACGTATTTACGACAAAGTGTTACTATTTTTCTTCTAGAGAAAAGTTACGGTAAAATTTCTAGTAACGCGCATAAAAAATATTCCGTTAAAAATTGAGTATACAAAAAATATTAAATAAAAAAAATAATAATTTAAATTTAAATTAATTCTAAAAAAAAAAAAAATATTTTCAAAATAAATAGTATTACGAAAAAAAACGCATCAACAGTTTCAAAATATATATTATTGTGTATGTATAAACCCAGTGACATGAAAAAAGGCGGGAAATTAATGTCAAATAAACCGGTACCCCCACCAGCGTCAAAAATAAAGTGCACGTGTTCGATAAAAGGTCAATCCCAAAATTCACATATATATATAATCCTCTCGATATATTTCACAATCTACAATTGTCTTTTAAGAAAATTTTCCACAAATTCAAAATATAAATCATCAAATAATTGATGAAAAAATAATTTAATTTCTTAATAAAGAAATAACAGAAAATACAATGAAAAAAAAGAAGAAAATTGTAAGTTGGCTCCTGAAGAATGGCAACCAAACGGTCGTTCATTCGAGTTCCATTTTGTCTCTTACAAATGAATGTCTTTTTCTTTAACAAAAGAAAAATGAACAAAATAACGAAAGAAACGAATGATGAAAATAAATTTGAAATTTAGTTTTTTTCCTTATGTATTTACAATGGGCAATAAAATAACGAAATTGTAAAGGAAGCTGCGCGCATGTTGCACAATTACGTGGCTTTTTGAAAAGGACCAAGTGTGCGCGAAAGAGAGAGAAAGAACGAGAGAATTTAATCGATTTCGCATATAATATACAACACACTTTGAAAGGAGCGCTAGGAAATAAAAAAAAAGAGAGAGAAAATAATGTATTGATTTTTAATTGGCCTTACCTTCATTTGCCTGTGATTCGTCGGGCAAATTTCGCTCCTTTTCCGTATAAATGACTCCTTGCAATGCACGTCATATGCTTCTTGTGAAATCGAAACTTTCCAAAGGCACTATATACAACACTACACAGAGAGAAAGAGAGAGATAGAAAGAACAGAACTGCGATGAAAGGGGTTTCGGTATTAGGCGTGTGTTTGTGTACGTATATATACTATATATATTTATGTATTGCACACGCCCAAGAAATTTTCACGTTTACGCGTAATCGTTTTATTATAGCAATGTTACAATAGACAATTGCAATTCTAATAAAACACGCGGACGAAAAATTTCATAAGCAAAAAATGCAAAACACCAAAATAAAGACTCGAAAAAATGAAATGAATTTCCAGGGTCACACCACACGCACGCAAGGAACTTATAGCCAGCAAAAATCGCCCAGGGAAAATGCCACACAGTTGAAATTACTTGAAGTTCGCTGCACAACTACTCCTAACCTATTTGACAAATGACGATCACATGATGTGACGCGCCAAATTTAAATTTTTCAAATAGATATTTAAAACATTATTATTAAAAGAATAGTACTATTTTTATTTTTTCAAGTAAAAAAAATTTAGAGATTAAAATCCAAAAAAATTTTTTCTCGGATTTTTTACTTTCTATATAGAACAACAATTTATGAAAAACATTCAATTACTGGAACGTTTGAGAAAAAATTCCCCTTTATCACGACTTATCGAAGTACATAACCTCAAAATATAAATTAGTAAAATGGCGACAACTGATGATTCTGCTGTTGAATTGTCACATATTACAGAGTAGAAAATTAAAAATTTGTTGACATTGAAAATGTCAAAAATGCGGGTCACGATTAAATTAACATTGCTAAAATTATTCGCGATGACTTTACAATGAAGTCAATTGTGCCAATGTACGTTAAAATAAGTTTTTCCCAAAACAAGACGTGATTAAACGACTGTATAAATGTGTGTTAGATAAAATCGGAAAGAAATCGAAATCGTTGTAAAATTGTTGAATTACGTGTGTTGACTGACGTTTAACGGGTTTTTTATTTCTTTAAAAAAAAAAACCTCGTTCTTAGTCTTTGTCTTTAATATCGCAATATGTGCGAGTCACTGAGTGTTTCCTGTTTGTTTATTCGTTGCAGAAAAATAGTCTGAAATTATAATTATATTTTTTTGTCTTTTTTATATACATAGTTTTTGTTTTTTTTTCCAAAATATGTTTTCCATATCGAATCTTTGGAACAGTATTGAACACATTATTGGTAAGTATATGTTTCAAAATTTTTACTGAAAAATAAAAAGTTTTTAAAATTGGTCAAAATTTCTCAAATGTTTCACGAAAAATAAAAAGAAAATTAAATTTTGAATTTAAATTAATTATTTGAAAAAAATTTATTTTTAAAACTTAATTTTTAAGGTACCAGGGGCCAACGAATAGCTATTAAATATTAATTATAAAAACACAGACCTCGAATCAACTTAAAGACACAAAAAGTCGTTTTAGTCGATTTATATTCCAAAAAAAGTGGATTTGTTTTTTATTTTAACAAAAATATTTTACAGATTTTTAAATAAAATTTTTTTTTTTAATAATAATTCTTTTCGAAGGGTTAAAGTTGAAATTTTTAGAAATAATTAAATTTCAAAAGAGATATTGTTAATTTTCAAACAATTATTAAATTTTACAGAACTAAAAATAATTTATCAAACAATTTTTGGAAAACATTTTTTAAATCTAATTGAATTATCAAAGATTTAAAATTGAGATTTTTGAAATTAATTGAAACTTTAAGTGTTTTGTAATTAAAATTTTAGATGATATCACTAAAAATTTATTAGAAAATGCGGACAAAATACAATAATTTGAAAATCATTTTTAATTGAAAAATGGTTTCAGATAGTTGAACTTTCAAAGAATATTATTAAAATAGTTAAAAATAATTAAATTTCCTTAGAGTTATAATTGAAATTATTAAATTTCAAAAATAAAAATTTCGATGGAAAATTTTAGAAATAATTAAATTTTAGATGCTTTTAAATTCAAATTATTGAAAATTCAATTAATTTTGAATTCAAATTTTTGAGAATAATAAAATTTTATTTGATTTTAAATTTGGAAAATAATTGAATTTCAGTTCATTTTGAATTGAAAATTTTGGGAAATAATTGAATTTTAATTGAAATTTTGGATAATAATTTAATTTAAGTTCATTTTTGATTGAAAATTTGGATAATTAATTTTGAATAGAAATTTTAGAAAATAATTGAATTTTATTTCATTTTAAATTGAAAACTTGGTAAATAATTAAATTTTAAATTGAAATTTTTTGAGAATTATTGGATTTTTAATTGATTTTGAATTAAAATTTCGGGTAATAATTGAATTTTAGTTTATTTTGAATTGAAATTTAAAAAAAAAAATTCAATTTTATTGTGATATTTTTTTTTAAATTATAAACAATTGTTAAATTTCATAAAAATTTTAATTGAAAAATAATTTTGATATAATTGAATTTGTGATGTATTTCATTAAAATTATTAAAAATAATTAATTTAGTGAAGAATCATTTTAGTTCAAAATTTGTTAAATAATTGAATTGAAGAAGATGTGAAGAAGATTTACATTTTATACTAAAAAATGTATTTTATTTACATTTTTTTCAAATGTAAAAAAAAATGTCGCATTTTATTAAAATAAGTCGATAAAAGTCGTATTTTTGAAAAAAGTCGGAAAAAGTCGTATAATCCGAGGCCTGTAAACATATAATTTTCATTATTATCATTTAATATGTAATAATATTCTAATAAATTAAATTATTATTGATAATATTAATCTTTAATTTCTTTATAACAAACAATTAAATACTCAATTTGGCGCGCTTGCGCGCGTTTACTTTTGCTAGTTTTTCATATAACATTTAGACCTTTTGGAATTTTTGTTGTGTCGAATTAAAACTTATCGAATTTTTATTTAGTAGAATTTTAAAAAGTAGATTTTATAATGAGCCGAAATTTCATATAAAATAATTTCTATTTTAACTAAATTCTGAATTTTAAAATTAATTTTCATTTAAAAAAATTTATCTATCAAAATTAACACGGAAAATAATTTTCACTTATCAGAATTGAAAATTATATAATACAATTTTTTTTAAACAGAATTTATCTAGCAAAAATTTTACATAAAAAATCATTTTTACTTATCAAAATTGAAAATTATAAAAAAAAAATGTGATTGCTTGATTTTAAAACACCCGCTAAATTGCCCGGTTTTAACTGGTTTTATCAAATAAATATTCGGACAAGTAAAAATTCGGTCAAAGGAAGTTTCGGTGAAATAGAAATTCTCTTAATTAAAAATTAAACTAAATAGAAAATCTGTTGAGTGACAATTCTGTTAAATAAAAATTAGATCGAATGGAAATTTTTTTTAATAAAAATTTTTGTTATATAGAAATTATATTTTAAATGGAAATTAGAATTTTTTTTTAATTCTATTTTTTGGAAGAAAATCATATTTTTGAAACTGTGCATTTTCTATTAAATCAAAATTTAATTAAATACAAATTCTTCGATATGAAAATTATAAAATAATTTATATATTTTCTTATATTACAAATTATAATATTTCGTTATAAAAATCAATTTTTAAAATTTTGCCAAATAAAAATTTATTTATTGATTTGTAATTTACGGGCAATGTATAGTTTTTAATTCGACTCATCACCAAAAATTTCGAAATTTTAACTTTTATAATATTTATAATTGTATAGTTAAATATTTTTATATTTATAATATATAATTAGATATCTTGATTTTTTTTGCTGTATTTTTCAATTATTTTTGTTGATTTCACTTTAAATGTTTAAATGAATTTTTTTCAGTTGATTACATTGACGTTGACTTCACACTATGGCTTTCTTGGCTATTGATGCCACTTATAATTACGTTTTTACTTCCGTTAATGATTGTGATACTTCTCTACGTTTCCGCATCGATACTTTATGTGTACAAAATACATAGGTTTGTATTATTACATAACAATAATAATTATATCTTAAAATAACTGTAGGTCATAGAAAAAAAGGTTCTGTAAAAAAAAACCGATGTCAATTGAAACACATACGGGGAAATTCTTCCTGTATTTGTTTAAAAAATTCAATTTTATAACTTCAAATTCTTTTTTAATTATGGAATATGTTTTATTTATTGGCAGATTAAGCCCTTGAAAAAAAGTCCTTAAATTTTATTTTTACTTGGAAAACCTGGAAAAGTCCTTGAATTTTATTTTCACCTAGAAAAGCTGGAAAAGTTCTTAAATTTTTCACTGGCTCCTAGAATTTTCTATTTCGTGTAAGAATTTTTTTTGCAATCTTCCGTAATTCATATTTACAAAAATTTTAATTAACTATCTCCAAAAATTCAATTACTTCTATAAATGTTAACTGCAGCTTTATTAAATTTCAATTATTTTAAAAAAATTTTCTAAATATATTTTTTTTCAATAATATTTTAATTAAGTTCTTCTAATATTTTTTAATAGTTTCTGAATTCAAATAATTTTTATAAATCAGATTACAGAATTAATAATAAATAAAACGTCTTTTTTCTTCTCCTAAATTCGATCCGAGATCAAAAAATACCAAAAATTAAATGTATTCTTTAATAGTTATTAATGCAAAAAGATAAAATATAATTTAATCTTGTGTGCATTTAATGTATTTTTGTCATTAAAATTTATTAAAATAATATCTGGAAAAAAAATTTTAACCTGAAAAATCTGGGAAATTTCTGGAATTTTATTTGCAAAAAATAAAATTTTAAAATTTAAATTAAAAAAAAAATAGTAAATTTTAATTTTATAATTTTTTTGTATTAAATTTTGAAAAATTTTAGCTAAAAAATACACATTTTGAAAAAAGACTTTTAAAATTGGTGCACTTTTAAGAGAAAGTTATGAGTATTCAATAATAAAAAATCATTAAAATTCTGAAATTTTTGAAAAATTCATATCTCGTAAACAGCTTGATGAAAAAAATTGAAAAAAAATCATGAAGCTCTTTTTTTACCCTAAAAAATACTTTTTATACGACACATGATTATGTTCTAAAAATCATTAGTTAGAATTTTCATTTTATAGAATTTCATTATTTTGTCATAATTATTTTTAAGCCAAATTTTTATTTTTCGAATTAGTATTTTTCTAAATTTTCATCAAAACAATTTTCTATATTACAGAATTTTTATATAACCGAAAATTCACTTCACAGAATTTTTATTTGTTCGAATTTTTATTTACTCGAATTTTCATTTTACATAATAGGCATTTTAAAGAATTTTTATTGGGTAGAATTTCATTGCATAGAATTTTCATTTTATTCTTTCAGATGAATTTTCATTTGTTCGAATTATTAATTGATATAATTTTCATATAACTGATTTTTCATACTACAGAATTTTTATTTAACCAAAAAATCATTTAACAGAATTTCTAATTGATAGAATTTTCATTTGTCCGAAATTGCAAATAGCCGAACAAACAATCGACAGAAAGATTTCGGCGTGATTTTTAAAATTAACCAATCACAATTTTATGGATAATTTTTGTTTGGTTGATTTTAAAAATCGCGCCGAAATCTTTCTGTCGATTATTTATTCAGACAAATGAAAATTCTATCACTTAGAAATTCTGTTAAATGATTTTTCGGGTAAGGTAAAAATTCTGTAGTATGAAAAATCGGTTATATGGTAATTATATCAATTAATAATTTCAACAAATGAAAATTCATTTGAAAGAATAAAATGAAAATTCTATGCAATAAAATTCTAACCAATAAAAATTCTTTAAAATGCCTATTATGTAAAATGAAAATTCGAGTAAATAAAAATTCGAACAAATAAAAATTCTGCGAAGTGAATTTTCGGTTATATAATAATTCTGTAATATAGAAAATCGTTTTGATGAAAATTCAGAAAAATACTAATTCGAAAAATAAAAATTTAGCTTAAAAATAATTATGACAAAATAATGAAATTCTATATAAAATGAAAATTCTAACTAATGATTTTTAGAACATATTCAAGCGTCCCCTTTTTATTTACTAATTGAGGAGTGCTTAAATTATAAAGAAATTGTACCTAAATTAATAATGTTGTATTCAAATTATGGAATTATTATTTTATGGATTTTCAGAGAAATAAAAGAAAAATTGCAACTGACTGAAGAGTATTTTCACTATGCGAGTAAGGGAGGGTTAAAAAATTTATTTGTTTTTTGTTTTTAGAGCAAGATTGAGACAGGCGTACGAATCTGATTGGAGAGACGCGGGTAGTAAAGTTGTCGCTGCCCTTTGGGACGCTCACGGTTGGATATGGCATGGCTACGAGGTTGTTGGACTCGAAAATATACCCGTGGATCAACCAATATTGTTTGTCTATTATCATGGTACAATACCCATTGATCTTTATTATTTCCTATCGAGGGTACTTTTATTTCATTCAAAGCTAATTCACACCGTTGCCGATCGTTTTCTCTTCAAAGTTCCCGGATGGTCCGTTATTTCCGATGTTCTCAAAGTCATTCCAGGTACAGTGCAAACATGCTCGTCAATTCTTAAGGAGGGCAATATGCTCGCCATTTCACCTGGTGGCGTTTATGAGGCACAATTCGGCGATTCCTATTATCGACTCATGTGGAAGAAACGACTTGGCTTTGCAAAAGTTGCTCTCGACGCAAAAGTGGTACTTGTACTTTTTGCATTATTTTTTGTTTTTATTGATATTTGCGAGAATTTCGCCGGTTTACAGTGAAATTGTCAATTGAATGAAACAATTTTTTTTTCGTTTAATATAGGTATTTTTTGAGTATGAAAAACATATTTTTTATTTTTTTCCTTCGTGCAGTTTTTTGCTGAATCTGAGAATAAATAAATAACTATTATACATTAACGTCGGAAATTATTATTAGAACTTTTACTAATTACTAAAATTATTTTAAACCTGAAAGGAATGAAAACTAAAAATTGATTTTTTTTACCTTCTCTTTTATGAAATTTGATGAAATTCTTATCAAAATTTTACCTAAGAAGAATATTTATTAGTAGAAAGATAAATAAAAACATTTTATGACTAAAACCAGTTATGCTGATCTTTTCCATCTTCTTAATTTAAAAAAAATATCGAATTTTTTATGTTCCTAATTTGTAAATATTTCCGTAAACATTTTAATTAAATTATTTCGTTGGCAATTTTTTAGAATTTCAACAAAAAGGAAAAGAAAAAATTTATTATTTTTTTTTCACGTTCAAGTTTATTTTTCAGCCATAAGAAAATAATATTTTCCAACGGTAATATTGGCGATTTTTTGACAATTAACTTTTTTTTTTCTTTTTTAGTGTATTATTCCTTTCTTCACGAGAAATATTAGAGAAGCCTTCAGGACAATTAGTTGGGGTCGAAGATTTTGGTTGAGATTATATGCAGCCACGAGATTTCCATTTGTCCCGATTTATGGAGGATTTCCCGTCAAGCTGAAAACATTTGTAGGCAAACCAATTCCTTATGATGAAAGTCTTACACCTGAGCAATTGCAAATAAAGGTATTATTATTTTTGAAATTTTACGAAAAAATGATATGTTTTTATAAATGAAGAAAATTTTCTTTGATATAAAGAAATATCGAATTGTACGACTTTTTCTGACTTTTTTTTAATACAACTTTTTTAGACTTATTTTAATAAAAGACAATTTTTTCGACTTACTTTATAAAATAATTTTTAATAATAAAGTTTTTAAAATGTGCAAAATTTAAGATTACGAAATCGCGTCGTGAACATTTTATTTTTGATTAATAATATCACAAAAAATTTGTTCGATAATATTATGGTCAAAGAACTTATAAATTCATCGAGTTTAAAATATAATATAATAACTAGATTTTTTAAAAATATGTCATCAACCATTCTCAGATGATTTTCAGATGATCAATTTTTTTTAATCTTTAAAATTTTTTAAATTCTTGAAAAATTTGTTTTAATTTAATTTTGAAATATTAAATAAAATAATAAATTTTAATAGAAATAAAATATTTATTAAATCAAATTTATAAAATTTAAAAAATCGACTTTCTCTACTTATTTTATAAAATAAAATTTGAAATTAATTAATTTATTAAATAAAAAATAAAATACTTATTATTATTTTTTCTAGTAGAAGCTGAAGCTCTTCCAATATTCAATTATTTTAAAAATTTGAATGTAAAAAATCTACAAAATTAATTATTTTCAATAATTTTAATTAAATTTTTTGAAAATTAAATTATTTAAAACATTTTTCAACTAAAAATTCTTTAAAATTCAATTATTGTCTAAAATTCTTGCAAAAAAAAGTTCAGCAATTCGAATATAAAAAATTTTCAATTCATAATCTTCTGTTTGATTAATTTTAAAAATCTGGAATCTAGGTCTTCAGAAATTCAATTATTTTAAAAATTTTTTTAATATTCAATTATTGTCTGTAATTTGTAATAGAAAAAAATCTTCAATAATTCAATTTTAAAAAAATTTCAATTTAAAAACTCTTGAAATTCAATTATTTCTAAAAATCTTAAATATGTATCTCTTCCAAAAATTAATTATTTTAAAAATTGTCTGAAAATTTTCGCCAAATTTTGTACTGAATTTTCTAATTCAGAACAAAAAGAAACAATCAAAAAATTTACGAAAAATTAAATTTTTTTTTAAATTATTGAATTTTAAAATTCAATTAAACATTTTTTTATCCAAAAATATTTCAAAAATAAATTTTGTACTGAATTGTGATAAATTTTTTAGTATAAATTGGCACAAAAATTATGTTTTTGAAAAAACTAATGGCGTTACTAACTTCTTCGACGTCCTAAATTTCAGGGTAAACGTAAAAACTCGAGATAAATGTAAACATTCAATTTCATCAGATTCAAGTTCATTTATATTTTCTACTTTCCCATAAAATTTTTCTAGGGAAGTGAAATAACAATTTAATGCAAAAGAAAACCGAAAGTATTGCCTTTTAAAGGAAATTTAAAATTATTTTGTTTTAAGAATTTTTTTTTCATTTAACCCTTAACTGGCACAATTCCGCGTTCGAACGTAAATGGCACAACGGGTCTGCTAGACCCGACGTATTCAAACGTGTATTGTACAGCCGGTATTTAATATTTTTGCACAAAAATTTAATCTGAGGTAGCTTATGATGTGTTTTTTAAATTTTCATTAGTTTTACAGCAATTAATTTATTTTAAGTTAGTTAAAAAAAATTGTGAAAAACAAAAACGAAAAATTGCGTGTTTTTACTTAAAAATTCATGAGTTATTTAAATTTTAATATTATGACTTAAAAATTAAAAAAAAATTACCACAACATCAAGACTTGCAAAAAAGGTATTTATTTTGCAGAATAAAATGTGACTTTAGGTTAAAATTAAAAATTTATAATTTATTAATGTTTGAAGCTAATTTATTATTTTGTTCAAAAGCTACACATTCAATTAATTTGAGCGAGAAAAAATGCTCGGGTCTACTGGACCCATAGTGCCAGTTAAGGGTTAAAATGAAAAAAAAACTTACGTTACTGTATTATAAAATTATTTCGTTTAAAAAGAAATTTCTCTTTTAATTGAATTACAAGACAATTTCTTAATAATTGTGTCCTTTTTTTTTCTTATAAAAATCACAGGTTGCAACAGCTCTTGACGAATTGATTCAACAACATCAAAAAGTGCCAGGAAGTATAACGCGCGCATTACTCGAACGATTCTACAATGAGGATACTCCGAAACTTCACTGAATGTGACGAAAAATACAGTAGTAAACAATTTCTCTCTAATATATTATTAGAATTGTGAATTGTGTATGTGTGTGTGTGTTTGTATGAGGGCGGAAAAAGATAATAATTATAATAATAATGTGTCATCGAACATAATTTTCAGTTACATTCCGATTGTTTTTTTTTTGTCACGTCAAAATATTTTTTTTTATCGGTTGCAATACTGAAAAAGAGATTTTATACATATATATATATATATATTTAATATAGGTAAATTTTTAATGAGGTGCAAAGCAGAAACTTAAAAAAATATTTAAATATGTATTTTTATTTAGGATCATTTCAAATTGAGTTGGTGTATGTACTTAATGACTGCCTTATTTATTTTTTATACGACGAACTAACATGCATATATTAACAAAGACTTTTAAAGTTCTTTGTTTGTAAATAACTTATTGAAATAAAAATCAATTTTTTTTCCTGTTGGAAAATTAATTAAAGGAAATATAGTTTTTTGATAGTTATTTTATAGTTTTAAAAAATTGAAAGTTCTTGGTTGGATTCAATACTTTGGGGGACGCATAATTATGCTCTAGAAATTATAAGTTAGAATTTTCATTTGTCATAATTATTTTTGAGCCGAATTTTTATTTGTTCGAATTAGTATTTTGCATAATTTTCATCAAAACGATTTTCTAATATTACAGAATTTTTATACAACCAAAAATTCAGATAAATTTTAATTTTCTCGAATTATTATTTGATATAATTTCTATATAACCGATTTTTAATACTAGAGAATTTTTACTTAACCGAAAAATAATTTAACAGAATTTCTAATCGATGAAATTTTCATTCGTCCGAAATTGCAAATGTCCGAACAAACAATCGGCAGAAAGATTTCGGCTGCGACTTTCTGCTCTCTCCATGCTTCTGCCATCTGACGGCGGCAGGAGATAATGAACCTGTTATTATATTACTTTCCTACTTTTCGTTTTACAATCGCATTTTTGTATGGATTCGAACAATCTTTCGAATTTAAGAAATTTATAAGATAATGATCTTTGGCTGCTTTTGTAAAAGGTGTCCCTTTTTTTAAAGAAAAAAGTATTTTAAAATAAAATGTTTATCATTTTCACGTTTAGTGGCGTTTTTATAAGGCGATAATTTAAAGGTCTCTTCTTGCCAAAAAATTTCAGAGACCATTCGACTCTCTTGAATAAATTTTTGTTCCTCTTAAAATCGTTCTTTTAACATTAAAACTTAATTTTTTGAAATCCGACACAAACACTACAACAATGATTATTTATATGTAAAATTGAAAATAAATAATTATTTTATCATTTATTACAGTATTTATAGATAAAATAAATTCTGATAGTCCAGAAAACCTATTGAGAAATGTTTTTTATTTATCTAAGAACCATAATCAAAGAGAATTTTTAAGTGCCAACTCATTTTTATTTAAACCTCCTTCTGCGCACCATAGAGAGCGAGTTTTTCGACGCAGCTTCTCATTTTATACTATTAAAAAAAAGCATTACAAGGGAAAATAACTGATGAATTAGATTAAGACAGCTTTTTATTAAAGTTTACAGAATTGATACAAACGATGATAATAATTATTAATGTTTGACTGGGAGTTTGTTTTTTTTTTCTTTGTACAAAATGCACTAATATGTATATAGATTACAAAAATGACTAATAATTGGAATGAACAAAGTACATATATATTTATTGTTTTTGAACTTTTGAAAAATGCAATTCAATCATAAATATTATACTGTAAAACGTGTGACAACTTTTAAGATCCTAAAAAGTCAAGAATAAATCGTACATCGACCTTGTTTTAGGGAAAGTTTTACGTTTTTTTCGGGGGAGGTTTTTATTCTTTATTTCCTTTTTTTTAGTAAGAATTGAATAATATTAATTAAGTTTTTAGTAAATAGTGTGTGCCGTCTACTTTAGAATTCACCTAAACACAAGGTACAATAAACCCACCATATTAAAGGATGTGTTTACATTTAAAAATCTCGAGATTGTAGAAACTGAGAAATTTGGTCGATTTTTATTATTTAGTGAAAGACACAAGATGTTCATGGCTCCACTCTTATTAGCTCAACATCAAAGGTAAGCTCAGCGTTGGGTGGAATAGTGTGTCTTTGTCAAGGAGAATATTAAAATTATTTATTAGTATTTAATGTCAAATATTTTTCAGAAGCATTCCATTTAAAATTGAAAACTTTCTTTTTGTTTTAAATGTTTCAAATAATGGATAAAAATATTACATATACAGACCTCGGATCGACTTTAAGGCGCAAAAAAAGTCGATTTACATTCTCAAAAAAAGGCGAAAGTCGATTTTTTCTATTTTCATTAAATTTAATTAGTTAATAAATATTTTACTTAAAATAATTAATGTTACTAGATATTAAATTCATTATATTAATTCCTTAATAATAATTTTATCAAGAAAATTTATTTCAAATATTTTAGAATCGAACTAAGACAAATTTTCAAAATTTTAATTAAGTAGAATAAATTTCTAAAAAAAATTCTTAAAGTTCGATTTAATTTATTCGAATTAAAATTTTTGGTTTTAATGGTCAAACAAATTTTGGACAATAATTAAATTTTACAGATTAAAAATTTTTTTTTTAATAATTGAATTGCGAAAGATTTTAAACTTGAAATAAATTGTCTGTAAATTTAAATTGCTGTAGTTATTTTTAATTTCTGACAATTCAATTTTACAGTTTTTATTTAAAACTTTTCTAAATAATTGAATTTTGAAAGAAAAATTTTTGAAAATAAATAAATAAATTTTCTAAAAATTTTAACTGCTGAAGTTTTTTTTTTTTTTAATTTCTGACAATTCAAGTTTAGAGATTTTATTTGAAACTTTGTTCATATTTTCGAAAAAAAGTCGGAAAAAGTCGTATAATCCAAGGCCTGCATATAAAATGGAAAATACTGTTTTACAATATAAAAATAATTTCTGGAATTATTTTTTCACTCATGTTAAAAAGTAAGAAAAAAAGATTGCTTTTAAAAAATATTTAATATATTTTACTTTTTAAATGGAACACCCTTTATGTTAAATTTAATGGAAACTTTCCCCTTTTTTTTTTAATAATAGTAAAACTCGATTACTTGTCGGAAACACATTCAAGATATAACCCATTCGAGCTATAAATAGATCATACAAAAGCGATGACCTAAAATAATTTTATATAATGAAACTGAATTTGTAGCAAAAAAGCGAAAAAAAAATTTAGAAATATTAGACAAGAAAAAACAAAATTTTCAAAAGAATTTTTCCATTAAATTTTGTATAATATTTTAAAAATTGACATAATAATGATAAATATGATGTATAAAAATCTATACACATATTCTATATGGACAATTTCACGTGAAATTTACTTATGACATTTTAAATTCGGATAAATATTTTTTTTTAGTTCTTTGCAGAAAAAAGTGGTATACGTATTTTTTTAAATGCCCAATTTTTCGAATTATGAATTTTTCGAGGTTTTCTAAAAGTAGACCTAATTTCTATGACATCCAACTCTAAAAGTATTGAATTTAGGAATTTTTATCAAAAGAAAAAAGTTAATTTCTTTATAAAAAAAATGGTTATCTTTTATATAAAAATTCAAATTTTTTTTTCGTTAACATATAATTCGAAAGTCGATGAAAAACTGAAACTTTTTTTTCTCTTGTCAAAAATTTCTAAATTCAATACTTTTAGAATTATATGTCATTGAAATTGAGTCTATTTTGAAAAAAAATTCGAAAAACACAGATTTTTAAATTTTCATAAGTCGAAAATTTGGGCACTTATAAAAAAAAATGTCATAGGTAAATTTCACATGGAATCGCCCATATGTAATAAAAAAAAATAAATGTTATAAATACAATAATAATATTATTATTTATAACTATAAAAAATAGAAAATACCTACTAATATTTTGTCAATTTTTAAATGAATATTAAGAGAATATTTTTTCTAAACTATATATAAAGCAATAAAGGATATACTCCAGGATGTCCTGTAGAACCATAAGCGTAATCAGGGGAGCAAATTAATCTTGCACGTTGTCCGACACTCATTTGAGCAACGCCTTCATCCCAACCTTTAATGACTTCGCCTTTGCCGATTTTGAATTTGAATGGCAGACCACGATCTCTACTGGAGTCGAATTTGGTGCCGTTCTTTAAAGTACCTACAAAATTAAAATTTAATAAATACAACAAAAAAAATCAATTATATTTATAAATAAAATTCGATATTTTAAATTCTTAATTTTAATTAATTTATAAATATTTTATTATTATTATTATTATTATTAGGGTCAGTAGGGGTAAATGGGGACAAGAGGTGTTGGAGCTTAATTTACAGTTTTAAAATTAAGTTCGACGTCAATATTTTAACCTCAGATCAGCTACAAGAGGTTCTGAGGATTGCCAAGCTTTTATCTTGACAATTGGCAGCAAAATAATTCAAGTTATCGCTCAATGCATAAAAACTTGAAAATCAAAGTCAAACTGTTTCAGTATTTTGTCGAGCATTTCAAAGAAAACAGACTTAAAAATCATACAAAAATTTTTTTTTATTCCTTATGACTCCCATAATAAAAATTAATTTGAATTTTTGATTTTTTGTCAATTTAGTATAGTAAAGTAAGTATATTTATTATAGTATTATAGTTAGTACTAACAAGCTGTCCCCATTTACCCCGAGAATTTGAAAACTCGGGGTAAATGGGGACAAAATTTGGAATACATTTATAAAAATATAACTGAACACATTTGTTCCTATTGGATTACTAGACTATTTTCAAAGTGTAAAATTATATAACAAAACGTGTTTGTCTCAATATCTATACCTCCCTTCTGTTTAACAAAATCAGGCTTCGAAGCGTAGTAGGAGACTGAGAAAAGTATGGAAAAGTATAATTTTTTTTAAAAAAAAAGTATCCCCAAAATTGAAAAAAGTATCAAAAAAGTGGCATCTTTAAAATGAAGTAAAATTAGTTTTCTAAGTTTGACGTTAAAGTGTAAATATTTTCTTGTCTAAAAAAATTGAAAGAAAACTTCTAAAGCATAAAATTAACATCATTTTTCTCATGATTATTTTTAAAAGAAAACTATCTATTGTTAAATTTCGATTAACTTTTTGTTTTTGGCACAACGGTAGGAGCGTATGATTATATTAAAATAATTTTTTACATAAATTTTTATTTTAAAAAATAACATTTAATAGAGAATTTTTTTTTAACTTATGTTCACTCAACGGAATTTTCAAAGTACCGAATTTTTATTTTACAAAATTTCTCTTTAACTGTTTCCTGAAAAGAATTCTAATTTAACCTATTTTTAATTTATTAGAATTCTCATTCAGTAGAATTTTAAGTAATTCGAATTTTTAAATCCCAGAACTTGAAATCGGAAGCTTATGTAAAATATTTAGTATTTAAAAAAAATTAAAATTCTTCAAAATTTCAATTATTTCTAAAAATCTTAAATTTAACTCTTCCAAAATTCAATAATTAATTCTAAAATTCTTTGCTATATTAATAATTTCAATCAATTTCATCAAATTATTCAAAACTTCAATTAAAAATTCTCTAAAATTAAATTACTATTTAAAACTTTGTTAATAATTTTCAGCAATTCTAATTTTAAAAAATTTTAATTAAAAATCTCCTGAAATTCAATTATTATTATTAAAAATTTTGATTCGATTTTTTTTGTTGAAATAATTATTTCTAATAACTTTAATCAAGATCTTGGCATTTCAATTATTTAAAACATTTTTCAATTCAAAATACTCTAAAATTCAATTATTGTCTGAATGTCGGTTAAATTAGAATTATTAAATGAAAAAAAAACTGCTGGGTAAAGAGAAATTTTGTAAAATAAAAATTCTGTCAAAAAAAATTTGACAAATTAAAAATTCTATTGAGTAAAAGGTCGTTTAAAAAGAAATTATGTTAAATGCAATATTGAAAAATGAAAATTCGTGTAAAAAAATTATATAAAGAAAAAAAGTAGCCTTGTCGAAAAAAAGTATCAAAAAAGTAAAAAAGTGTGTCACTTTGAAGCCTGCAAAATATGCAGGAATAAAATAAAAACAAATAAAAGACATAAACCAAGCAAATTTAATAAATTTATAAGAAAACTTTTAGGTTCGTTCGCCATATTGAATCCGCCATTTTAAATTTTGAAAATCGGACTTCGAATTCTTATTCAGCGACCCGAAAAACCTTTCTTTACTTTACTTACTTTACTGTACTTTTCAATACCAAAAAAAATTTTCCTAAACAAATTTTTTTCAAAATTAACACTTATTTTACATTTTTAACCCCTTATCTATCTTTAAAACTTTTTTCTGTTATTTTTTTTTTTTGAAAGTTGATATTTTTTCCAACAAAACTGCATAAATATAAAAATGGGACAACATTGGATTTGCGATTTGTTTTTTTAAAACATTTTCTCATAAACCCAATGTTGTGTCGTATTTATATTTATACAATTTATCTGGGAAAAAATCTCAGCTTTCAAAAAAGAATAACAAACAAAATTTTAAGGGAGGATAAAGGATAAAAAAAAATGATAATTAAGAGTTAATTTTGAAAAAAATAGGGTTAAAAAATTTGTTAACATTGAAAACAGCATGAAAAATCCATCAAAAAACCATATTCACAAATTATAATTGACAAATTTTTGTAAAAATTACACAGATTTGAAAATAGTATAGTGTTACCCAAAAACTCAAAACTTTAATCCCCCTTTGGTTTTTAGAATTTTTTAAAAAATAAGTTTGTATTTTGAGATTTTGTTAGTTTCATATAGGACAACAATTTACCAAAATATCAAGCCAATCCCAAAACTTTTTTTTGGGGGTGTCTTTTTTTCAGAGAATGACTCTTATATAGATCATAATGAATATATTTACTACTAATAATAATAATATAATAATAATAATAATAATAATAAAATATTTATTAATTAATTAAAATTAAGAATTTAAATTATCGACTTTTATTTATAGATTTTATTTTAATTCAAAGTTGAATATTTTATTAAGTTGGTATTTAATGGGAGAGACTGGAGAAAATTTAACCCAACGAAATTAATGTTGTTTAGGGGGTACCAAATTTTTTCTTGAAAACATTCAGTATTGAAAATTATAATATTAAAAAAATTAATAAACAACAGAATTTGTTAATTTTTAAAATAAAACTGGACAAATTAAAATTTTAACTTTTCTTCTAATTTCTATTATTTTTAATTGATGATTTTTTAAAAGTTTTTCTCATGATTCTGAATAATCAATCGTATGGATTTTGAAAATATCCACTTTTTTTGTCAAAAAATGAAATAATTGAAAAATTAAAAAAAAGAAAACTTGAACGAATTTCTTTTTCGTTTGCATCTTTTAAAAATATATTTTTCTATTAATACATGAAAATAAATTAAAATTTTTGCAAAAAATTTTAGAGTTAGAATTAATAAAACTTGGTAGTTTAAATAATTTTTTAATTAAAAATTGTTTTTACTTTACCTACTTTTTGAAATATAAAGTTTTTTTTTGTCTCTATGATTCTTCACATTAGCCATATAGAAAATCAAACTAAAATATATATTTTAATTTGAAAAATGAAAAGAACGAAAAAATGGTTCTTTTTAAAAGACAAGTTATTTTAAAAAAAAAAGTTTAATTACTCTTAAATTTTTAACAAAATCTGTTTAGTATTTTTATTTATTGAACATTTTTTTTTTTATTTTAACAGAATAAAAAATTATTATTTATTTAAAGTATTAAATTTTCCCAAAAAAAATTTTTTTTTTTAGGGTTCCGTACTCGGTTTGGAACCCTATTAATATCGGTTTTTTTGAAATCGTGTACCCCCCCCCTAGCGGCCACATAAATTTATCTGGAGGGCTGAAAATTAGTACACATATGTATTTTCGCGTGTAGATTACAGGAAAATTATAGCGAACTTGATTGGAATTGATTAACATAGCGTTGTCAAGGAAAAACCATGAATTTTTACGAAAAATGCCTAAAAATGACTATGTACCCCCCCCCCCCCTAGCGGCCACATCTTTTGACATAAAGAGCTCAAATTTGACACACTTACGTATTTTTACGTGAAAATTACAGGAAAATTATAGCGAACTTGATTCGGATTAATTTACATAGCGTTGTCAAGGAAAAATCAAAAATTTAGAAAAAAATGATTTATTCTCCCTAGCGCACACAATATTCAATCCAGACTGTTCATACTTGCTGTAAAACTCAATTTTTGCGTGAAAAATACAGGGAAAAAATGTAAGCGCGATTGGAGTTGATGATCAATTTTTATCAAATTTTTGAAGAAAAATGATAAATTTCAGAAAAAAATGTATTTTTCCGCAAAAAACGAAAAAAGTTTTTCTACAGTGATTCAAATTTATATATTTTGACGTATTTTTACGTGTAGATTACAAAAAAAATATAGCGAGGATGATTGGAGTTGATTTTTCTGGAATTAATAAACAAATTTTATTTTTTAGATAACTTTCGATTTTTCCTTGACAAGCAGCTACTAGCCTTATATCAATATCTTAAGTTTTATCTCTTTTTGACTTAGAAAGATAAAATTTAATATTCAATATATTTTTAAAATGTAAATACAATAAAAATATTGCGAGTTGAAATAAAATTATGTTTCTTATATTTTTTTAGTAAAATATTTTTTAAAAAATAAAATCGGACAAGTGCGAGTTACACTCGCACTGAAATCGAGGGTTCCGTACTCGAAGCGAACTTATTTGGTATAAAAACAAATGTTTAAAAAATATGTGTTGTATGACAACTAATATAAGTGATACGAAGAGGAACAATTTTCTTGAATTTTACAAAATTGTTCCTTTTTGTATCACTTATATTAGTTGTCATACAACACATATTTTTTAAACATTTGTTTTTATACCAAATAAGTTCGCTTCGAGTACGGAACCCTCGATTTCAGTGCGAGTGTAACTCGCACTTGTCCGATTTTTTTTAGTTAATATTATTAAAAAGTCGAAAAAAAACTTTTCTTTTTCTTCGTTGGCAAACATTTTTTAAATTCAATAATTTCTAGACTTATAACGCTAAAAGTATTAAATTTAGAAAATTTTTGGTCATTAAAAATAAATTTAAAAAAATTACATTTTTTAAAAATTCGGAACTTTAAATATTGAGCAGTAATGTAAAAATAAAAATTATATTTAACCAAATTTAAAATGTCGATTATAAATTTCACATGGAATCGTCCATATAATATTCGTCTACGATTTCGAGGTTATGATATCATTAAAAGATTCTGTAAAAAAAAAAATTTTGTAATTTTACCTGTATAGTGTACGACAACGGTTTGTCCAGTCTTGGGATAAGTTCTGCCTTGAGAAAAAAGTAAAAGAATTTTAATTAGTAATTTTAATTTTTTTTTTACCCTTATATCAAAATTTGAATAAATATCGAAAAATGAAATCGTAAAAACGAAAAAAGCAAAACGCCGCTCGAGCCGGAAAAAAATTATACATATTCTTGTCTTTTATATATATATATATATAGAAGAGAAAAAGATTCACACTTACATAAATTTCGAGTGTAGGTGTATATTTTATTTTGAATTTAGTGTCGATGAAAATTTCCCAAAAAAAAAAATGTAAAAATAAAATTTAAGCTAGCATGCAAAGAAACGTGATATAGTTTTAAGATAAAAATAGCAAATTTTGTGTGATATAATTCACGTAAATATATATACTTACTATCGCCAGGTGAAATCAATTCTACTCTCACGCCCATGATTGAGTTTTCTCTGCGTGTGTGAAATGAAAAATTATAAAATGTATAAAAATTTGAGAAAAATGGAATAAATCAGAAATTTTATAAGAAAAAGTAGAGACAAAAATATTGAGCGTAATGTTTGAAAATATTTTAAATATTAAAAATTGTTTTAAAATAATGAAAATATTCACAACGTACCTCCTAAAACTTGTGATGCCACCGAAATGTGGTGTTTTCCGCGAAAAAATGTGGTTCCGTCGTCGGGAATGAAATTTTGACTTCTAAAGCGACCGTCAGAGGCGCTACATGTCTGGGTCGCATTCAAAATTATTCTCTATTGCATTTTGAAAGAAATTTTTTTTTTAATTTTTTAAAATATTTTTCACATATTTTCCTTTTAATTTAAAATTTACAAAATTGATCGAATAATAATTATTAACATAACCTAATTTCGATAATTTCTTTCTTTATTTTAATTTTAATTATTTATTTATTCAATACATTTATTGTTATTAGTAATTATAATTATTTAAATATTAATTAATATCTATTAATTCAATTGATATTTAATTATTATTACTTTTTTTAATTATAAAAGAACAAATCAAAAAAATATTATAATTCAAATAGTTTTTAATTAATAATCAATTTAATATTTTATAATACATAAATTAATAAATTTTTATAATTTTAAAATAAATAAATTATTATATTGATGATTATAATTATATTAATAATTAACATTTATAATTATTATATTGACAATTATAATTATATTAATACTTTAATAATAATTATAATCATTATATTAACAATAATTATTAAAATTTTAAAAAAAATACATAAATTAATTAATTTTAATTTATTTTGTAATTTACATAGTTTAAAACATTTTTTATATAATTAAAAAATTTTTTTTTACCTTAAGAAAATAATAATTCTTATGGAGAAAATTTACAGGCTATAAAAAAAGGATTTCAAGTTTTATTTATAAAAATATTAATCTAATAAAATTTAGATTTTTTGGAAAAATTTTAGATACAAAAAATGTTTTTACTGTAAACGGATAAGTTTTTTAATTTCAATATTATTATATAATATTGATAAATCAAATATTTATAAATGAATTTTTGAGTTAGATGTAACTTTCAATATTTAAACAAATAACATTTTTTTAGCTTGAAAAAAATTTTCAAAAATCTTAATTTTTTAATTAAATAATATTGAATATATTCTCAAATATTGAATTAAATAATTGAAAACGGAGTTACTCAAAATATTAAATTAACTATGTATAGTTCAAAATATTTTCAATTATATAATTTAAAAAAATCTTCAATTATTTAATCTAAAAATTAAAATTATTTTCAAATATAACTAAATTTCGAAATACTTTTTTATTATTAATTTATGATTAAATCATATTTTGGCGATGAAACGATTTTTGCAAATTCATTCCATTTTAAAAATAGAAAAATGCAACACGAATTTAAAAAAGACGATTATTTGCATTTTACATTTTATAAGCATAACTTTCTTGATTTTTAACACTGAATATTTAAAGTTTAAACAATATTTTTCATTTAATCAAATAAAATTCCAATTTAAAGTCTGGTTTTTAGAAAAGAAAATTTTATTAATTTCCCAGAAATGGAAACTAACATTTTTTTTATTTTGTTTTTTTTTAAATTGCCAATGATTGATAAATATTTGAATTACTTGTAAAGTAATAATAGATATTTTGTATAAATAATTTGTTAAAAAAAATTTTTGTCTTTTTTCGTTTTTTTTTTATTTTCTAAAATAAAATGCAAATTAGTTTTTTTTTCTATAAGTAAAGTAAAATACTAGTGGCCAAAAAACTTTGTATTTCAAAAAAGAAAAAATTAATTTTTATTAACAAATTAATCGGAGGGTTTTTCGGGTCGCTGATCACGAATTCGATGTCAGTTTTTCAAAATACAAAATGGCGGATCTAATTTGTAATATCTTTAATATAAATCTCGAAATTTATAAATTTTTTTTTCTAATTTGAGATTTATATTAAAGTTACTAAAAATTTTCCGCCATATTATACAAAATGTAAATAAATTTCGAAACATTTAAGAAAAATACCCATTTATTAAAAAGAAATTTTCGACGTTCGGAACATTTTAATGTAATGTAGTGAATAAATAATAAATATTTATCACAAATTCGTGATAAATATTATTATATTCTCGCATATTTATATATATATATATAATATAACTTTCTTAGAATTAAACAACACCTTTAAACAGAACAATATACATTTTTTTTGCTACGCAACACTTTTTTCTTTTTTTTATATAACAGTATTTTTTTAAAACAATTTTCTTCATCCCTTATTACAATATACACAATACATAATTTAATTGAACGAATGTATACATTTTACATTATTAAACTAGAAATGAAAATTATATTTACATAAATACTTTTGTCATGTATATGGCAATTTATTTTACATATTTATATATATAATTTGCGTTTATTTGACATAATCAAAATAATAAAAAAAAAATATACATTTTTTGATCTTCGTCAATTCGCCCCTTTTTTGTGACGAAATAAAAATTCTCGAAATAAATAATATTAATTATATGCGTATAATATAAATAATAATTTTAATAGACAAATAATTCTGGAAAATGCATTTCATACGCAGGTGGTTGCGATGGTTTGGAATCAGATGGTGTTGTTCCTTGTGTTGCGTTATTTTTCGGCTCAATTGTTAAAGCATTAAATATTTCGGAAAGTTTGTTCTGCAAGGCATCGTGCTAAATAATGAAATTAAATTGATTTTGTTAATTTAAATTTTTCGAAAATTATAATCTATTTAAAAAAAAAAATGAAAAATTTACCTTTGGTTGTGTTTTATTGACTAGATCTTCAAATGGTGCGTTTTGAAATAATTGCGAAATTTGTACTCGTTTTTCTTCCTCAACAATTTGATTATTGTTATTTTCTGTTAATATTCGTTTCATATTTTCAAATGTTAATTCCTCCCCTGGTAATTTCTGAAATATCAAAAAAAAAAAATTTTTTAATTCATGTTAAATTTTACCTATCTAATTCTTCTTATTATTATTATTTTCTATCCCAATCAAAGTAAGCTTCTTCGGAAAACATAAATATTTCCCACATTAGAACTGTTGGAATTTTTGTGATGTCAAATTAAAAATTATCGAATTTTTATTTAACAAAATTGTATAAAATTTTTATGTTAAATTATTTTCAAGGTTTTATTGTCAAATTTAAGGAATTTCAAAGTTTTTCAAGGATCAAAAAAATTCAATGACTTTTCAAAGATTTTAAAGTCCGTTAGACATCCTGAATTTTAAGTCAAGGAAGAAATAAGGAATTTATTTCGGAAATTTTTAAGAAAAAATAATTTTTAAAATTACATATAAATAAATAATGAATTGTTTTCGTTACCTTTTGGACACCAGGAGAAGAGCCTCCGCTGTCGACTTCGTTTGTGCCGCTATTGATGTCGGACAATGAATTTCTCCCCGCTGTATCGACCCAGGAATGTCTATGTTGCATGGAACTTCCACTATATCCGGAACCCTGATGAAGTTTTCCGGTTTCAAGACCCAAACCTTTGAGACATTCGCTCACAACTGTTTGATCGACAAGCAAAGCTGGTGGAATTCGTGATGGTAAATTGTTATCATACTGAGAATGTAAATCCGGCAGTAAATGCATCGCCTCTTTCATTCTTTCTTCGACAACCTGTTTTTTTTAATATTAAAATCATAAATATTAAATTCTTGGATACAAATTTCACTTTCTGATAAACGGGGAAAAAATTTAATTGAAACAATTGATTAATACTATTGAAAATTATTAATTTGGGAAAGAATTAAAGACAATATTAAAAATAATATCAGTATTTTTTGGAAGATTTACATATTTAAGATTTTTAGAAATAATTGAATTTCAAGAGATTTTAAATTGAAATTTTTGTAAAATTAAATTGCTGAAGATATTTTTCTTACGAATTAATAATTGAATATTAAAAACAATTTTAATTAAATAGGTATTTAAAAAATTATATTTTAACTAATTGAATTATTAAATATTATTATTAAACTAGCAAAATTAAACGCGAGCAAACGCGCCAAATTGAGTATTTAATTATTTGTTATAAAGAAATTAAAGATTAATATTATTAATAATAATTTAATTTATTAGAATATTATTACATATTAAATGATAATAATGAAAATGATATGTTTACAGGCTTCGGATTATACTTTTTCCGACTTTTTTCAAAAATACGACTTTTATCGACTTATTTTAATAAAATGCGACATTTTTTCTACATTTGAAAAAAAATGTAAATAAAATACATTTTTTTAGTATAAAATGTAGATTCAATTCAATTATTTAACAAATTTTGAACTAAAATGATTCTTCACTAAATTAATTATTTTTAATAATTTTAATGAAATACATAACAAATTCAATTATATCAAAATTATTTTTCAATTAAAATTTTTACGAAATTTAACAATTGTTTATAATTTAAAAAAAAATATCACAATAAAGTTGAATTATTTTTTAAAAATTTCAATTCAAAATAAACTAAAATTCAATTATTACCCGAAATTTTAATTCAAAATCAATTAAAATTCAATAATTATCAAAAATTTTCAATTTAAAATTTAATTATTTACAAAGTTTTCAATTTAAAATGAAATAAAATTCAATTATTTTCTAAAATTTCGATTTAAAATTAATTATCCAAATTTTCAATCAAAAATGAACTTAAATTAAATTATTATCAAAAATTCCAATTAAAATTCAATTATTTCCCAAAATTTTCAATTCAAAATAATCTAAAATTCAATTATTTTCCAAATTTAAAATCAAATAAAATTTAATTATTCTCAAAAATTTGAATTCAAAATTAATTAAATTTTCAATAATTTAAATTTAAAAGCATCTAAAATTTAATTATTTCTAAAATTTTCCATCGAAAATTTTCTTTTTGAAATTTAATAATTTCAATTATAACTCTAAGGAAATTCAATTATTTTTAACTATTTTAATAATTGCATTATGATGTTTTTTACTTGTCTCTCCAAAAATAGAAATTTAAATTCACAGTAAAATACAACATACTCTCACTAAACAATTCATTTTTTTCTGCACATATATATGTCTGTATATATATATATATATATATAAAACACACTTTACATAATATACCATATTATTATATAATTTACCACCACCCCCCCCCCCCAAACATTACCTACACTTATAAACCACTATCTTAAAAATTCTTTAACGTTCCTTAAATTTAAATCTCCTAACACCGACATAAACAATTCAACACACATTCACAAGTAATTCCTTAAAAATAAAAAAAAAAAAAAAAAAAAAAAAAAAAATTCTATTTTACGATCCTTCATAAACATAAAGGCACCAATGATATTTGACTCTTTAGTGTCAATCACTACGGGATATCGCTACGTCTAAACAAGCCATTTAAAAATCCCTTTAAACACATGTTTTATTTTTTTCTCTCTCTCTTTTGCACATGGCTTCAAAAATGCAATACAATATCATAAAGTTTTTTTTCTATATCACAACAAGTATACAAAACCTCCCAAAAACTCAGTATCCTCGGAAAAGTCGAGGCGAAAGCATTTAAAGAATTTTGTCTTTTCGTCGAAATTATTATTAATTGATACTTCTCTCAAAAATAAATAAATAAAATAAAATGTGTAAAATATTTAAAATATATGTGTTGTGCAGTGTTACAACTAATTGGAATACATTCATACTATGCTCCAATAGTACCACTTCTATCTACATTAAACTTTCTTCAAACATGTGATTGTAAGTTGCAAATTGTTGGCAAGGAATTTCTTCTTTGGATATAATTTTCTATTATAAATTCAATTTAAATTTTTTATATAAATCTATTATTTATGAATTCGACGTTATTTTTATTTTATAGTTTATACTAAGTTCATATTTTGTAACAACTAAATTAAAATATGGACAATATCTAAATTTTGAACATTACTCTACAGTTACATTTGTACTTATCATTACAGATACTATAATAAATATTCACTGACGAAGGCACACATCAGTTGCCGAAACGTATGAAATAAAGGAAAAGTTTTGTTCTTTTTTTCATAGAACCCTCATGCCAAAGAACTTAGAAATACATTATTTTAATAATATTCTTTGAAATTTCAACTATCTGAAACCATTTTTCAATTAAAAATGATTTTCAAATTATTGTATTTTGTCCACATTTTCTAATAAATTTTTAGTGAAATCATCTAAAATTTTAATTAAAAATCACTTAAAGTTTCAATTAATTTCAAAAATCTCAATTTTAAATCTTTGAAAATTCAATTAAATTTAAAAAATATTTTCCCAAAAATTGTTTGATAAATTATTTTTAGTTGTGTAAAATTTAATAATTGTTTGAAAATTAACAATATCTTTTGAAATTTAATTATTTCTAAAAATTTCAACTTTAACCCTTCGAAAAGAATTATTATAAAAAAAAATAATTTTTATTTAAAAATCTGTAAAATATTTTTGTTAAAATAAAAAACAAATCCACTTTTTTTGGAATATAAATCGACTAAAACGACTTTTTGTGTCTCTAAGTTGATTCGAGGCCTGTGTTTTTATAATTAATATTTAATAGGTATTCGTTGGCCCCTGGTACCTTAAAAATTAATTTTTAAAAATAAATTTTTTTCAAATTACTATCTTGTACGAAATTTCCTGTCGCATCTTTTTTCTCATCATAAATTTTTTGTATTTGTATACAATTTTTGAATCAATATACAACTTTAAAAAAAATTTCGTTGGTAAACGTTGTGTACTTCGGCTTCGTGAATTGAATTTTCGAATTTGGAATTTTAAAGAAACTTATTCCGAAATTTGGAAACACAATTATACAACTTTGGCCAAAATTGAGAAAAAGAATTGTCAAAATTTGACACGTCATAAGATTACTATTCAAAAAAACACATAAAATCAGAAAAGGCCAACTTCAAGTTAGGACAGAAGGACAGACCAAGCATTTTATTATTATTAAATTAAATTATGAAAAATAATTTACTTAATTATAGAATTTTAAATAGAAATTTTTAAAATAATTGAATTTCTGAAGACCTACATTACAGATTTTTAAAATTAATCAAACAGAAGATTATGATTTGAAAATTTTTTATATTCGAATTGCTGAACTTTTTTTTACAAGAATTTTAGACAATAATTGAATTTTAAAGAATTTGTAATTGAAAAATGTTTTAAATAATTTCATTTTTGAAAAATTTAATTAAAATTATTGAAAACAATTAATTTTGCAGACTTTTTAAATTCAAATTTTCAAAATAATTGAATTTTGGAAGAGCTTCAGCTTCTACTAGAAAAAAAATCATAAGTATTTTATTTTTAATTTAATAAATTAATTAATTTCAAATTTTATTTTCTAATATAAGTAGAGAAAATTGATTTTTTAAATTTTATTTAATAAGTATATTATTTCTATTAACCATTGTTATTATATTTAAAAAATAAAAATAATTAGATAGGAATTTATCAAAACATTTCATTTAGATAATATTTCAAAATTGAACTGAGACAAATTTTCAAGAATTTAAAAAATTTTTAATTAAAAAAATCGATTCACTGAAAATCATTTGAGAATAGTTGATGACGTGTTTTTAAAAAATCTAGTTTTTACATTATATTTCAAATTCGATGAGCACATTTTTGAGAACGTTAATATTCAAAATTTGAAAATTTTGTAAAATAAGTAGGAAAAGTTGTTTTTTATCAAAATAAGTCGAAAAAAGGTGCATTTTAAAAAACGTCTGAATAGTCGTACAATCCGAAGCCTGTACTTTCATTCGGGAGGAAAATATTATTTATTTAAATAATAATTTGTAACTTACTTTTGACGCATAGTCCATGAGTGATGAAATATTACAAACGTAGGCAATTAAAACAAGAAGAGAAATGACAATTGCGTGAAGATTGAATTTCAATGTAATTGTAATTTGTCCACTTGTTAGTGCAAGATCTTGAAGACTGAGGACAAGTCTCAAAAGTTCGAGTATTGTTTCCTCTGAGGCTAATTCCACGGCCAATAATGCCATTGTCGTGTAAATTGATTCAACATTTTCCACTGAATTATTTGTCATTTCAAGTGACTCGTAAAGTGCCATATAAATTTCAGGACCATGTTTCCTGATGAATATCACATCGGGACGTGAACATTTCTCTATCATTAGATCCAATTCGACGATGTTAATTCTATAATTTTTTTTTTCGATTAGATGATTATTGAAATTATTTATATTAATCTAAATAAAAAGGTGCATAAATATTCCATAAAATTCATTAGTTATTGAAATCTTATTTGGTATTATTTTCATTACTTAAAATTCGCTGTTAAATAAAAATTCGGTTAAATTAGAATTTTTAAAAAATAAACTGGTTGGGTAGAGAGTAAATTCAGTAAATAAAAATTCGTTTAAAAATAAATTCTAACAAATGCTAATTCGAAAAATGATAATTCGTATAAAAAAAGTAATTATTTTTAATCGTAAATTTTTTTAAAATTATAAAAAATAAAAATTATAAAATTTCAACTTACGTGGGTTTTGTAAATTTGGCACTATTGCGATGTCGATCGATGAGAGTATGGAAAATTTGTTGAACAAGAAGACGCATTTCAGCGTCGGCAGCCAATGACATTCTGAGTAGTGGTTGCAAAAAACTTGGCGGAAATGTTGTATTAAGATGTATTGTCTGATATTTGGTGCCTACTTTTAATAATGATTTCAAAAGAATACTTTGTAAAAGAACATCGCCCTTGCCAAGGGAATTAATACGATCAGATTGACTGTACGAGACTTTACTCATGATGAACATCATTATTTCAATTTTCTGATAATCTGGCAAATGATTTGCAAATTCACCAAGTGCATTTATCAATGCCTCTTGATATTGTTGTTCGTCACTTGATGAAACTTGATTTCGTGTCACACTCACACGTAAATGTGAGAGTAGAGAACTAATTATTTCCAATACTGATGGTCCAACACTTTCACCAGCGGCAATTGAAATAATTTTCGATAATGTATCAGCAATGCTTGTTCGTATTTTTGGAGTTGATTGTGAATGATCGTCGAGATGTGTCATTAGGGCCTCCACAACGGTGTACGAATATTGCGACTGGGCAAAAAAAAAAAAAAAACAATTCCAAGATAAGATTAAAGATAACAATAACAAAGTACAACAAAATTTTACTTTTTTTTTATTTTTGAGATCGCTTAGAGTGATTCCTATATAGGTTTTTTTTTTTGACACTAAACACGAATCCGTAAACAGAATTTCTTCATCAGTCTTGGATAGAATTTTCTTTCAGATGAATTTTCATTTGTTCGAATTGTTATTTGAAATAATTTTCATATAACCAATTTTTCATACTACACAATTTTTACTTAACCGAAAAATCATTTAACAGAATTTCTAATTGATAGATTTTTCATTCGTCCGAATTTTGCAAATGGCCGAACAAAAAATCGACAGAAAGATTCGGCGTGATTTTTAAAATGAACCAATAAAAAATTATCTATAAAATTGTGATTGGTTAATTTTAAAAATCACGCTAAAATCTTTCTGTCGATTGTTTGTTCGGTCATTTGCAATTTCGGGCAAATGAAAATTCTATCAATTAGAAATTCTGTTAAATGATTTTTCGGTTAAGTAAAAATTCTGTAATTATAGAAAATTCTGCAAAATACTAATTCGAACAAATAAAAATTTGGCTCAAAAGTAATTATGACAAATGAAATTCCATAAAATGCAAATTCTAACTAATGATTTTTAGAACATATTTTTGCGTCCTAAAAACAGCGTTTTTTCAATTTTCAAGGCCAAATTTCTTGGAATCTCATGTTGATATGATGGAAAAATTATGTTTACGGATTATTTATATTCAACGTCGAAAAATTTATAAAAATCATCATAAGTGATCTGATAAATAAAAATGGTGTTGTAAAAAAAAAAATAAAAAAATTTAATTTTTATCGAAAAATGTAAAATTTTCCTTATTAGGAATAATTTAATAATAAACGAACAAAGATAGAAAATAGAGAAAAAATATACCTGAATGGAGAACATTATAATTCGGAAAGTGTGAACCGCAAAAAAATTTGGTACCCACAATTGATGATGATCCAAATGTCTGAAAATATCAAAAACCGTTAGATCAAGTATTTATGGTATTTTGGTAAATTTTCATAAAATTGATAATTTAGATTCCTTTAGCGATTAAAATTAGAAATTTGAAGTATTTTTTAAAAATTCTAAATATTTTTCAAAATATTGCAAACTTAAATTTTTTCAAATTTTTTTTTTAATTTATTATAATTTTTGTAATTTTTAACCAATCGAGATAAATATTTTTTTTAAATTACATGTATCTAGATATTCTTTCATGAAAAAATAATTTTAAAAAATTGTAAAATTTTAATTGTTTAAAAAAAAACAATTTTAATTGTTCAAATAAATCGAAAAGTATATCTTCGATTTTTTTTTAAAGATTTGTTACTTTTATATAGAACAATAATTCAACAAAATATTAAGCCAATCTAATAACTTTAAATTTAGTTTTACTTTTTCTTTAGATAATACTTTATATGAACTTAAAACAAAATTACCTGAGAACGGGTTTAATGACACAGCGAATGTGTCCAAATGAAGCGCGACCAACCAATTCTCTCATGCAAGTCTCTGCAAATTGAGGTGGATCAGATCTTTCTTCTGTTGGACTCTCTGGTGTACCGTCCAGTTTATCAAAATATCTAAAAAGATACATTAATTTTTTTGTAATTTTTTTTGCGCAAATCGATTTTATACACACTTACTTTATTTTTAATTGTTTATAAGTAAAACTTAAGAATTTTATTAACAATTTTAAATTAAACTGAATTAGCTCTAGATATAAAATAAATTTTTTTTCAAGAATCTTTTATTTACACGAATTATAAAAAATTACGATTTTTAAATTTCAACCAATTAGAAATTATCAAGAAAGTTATGATTGGTCAAGTTTTTAAATTCCCATAGAAATTTTTCGGTCTTTTGTTTATTCGGACAATTATTAATTTTCGTTAAATGAAAATTCATCACTTTTTTAGAATTCTATAAAATAACAATTTGTATAAATGAAAATTCAGACAAACTAAAATTAGGTGAAATAAAAAATTCAATTTTAGAGTTTTTATTTGAAACTTTTTTAAAGAATTGAATTTTCAAAGATTTACAATTCAAATTTTTCAAATTAATTGAACTTCAAGTGATTTTTATTTGAAATTTTTGGTGATGAAGAATTTATTTGTAATTAGAAACAAAAATTAAATTTCAAAAGTTTTTAATTGAAAAATGCTTTTAAATAATTGAATTTAAAATCATTAAATTTTGGTTAAGTTACAGTTGAAATTTTTAGAAATAATTAAATTTTAAAAGGTTTTAAATTGAAATTTTTGAAAATAATACGAAACTGAAGTACGCAAAGTTTATGATAAACGATTTTTAAAGAAATAATTTTTTAAAATTGAAAATTCTATAACTTTTTGCCTAAAAAATATTTCTTGTAGTTTTTATTAATCAACATATTATAAAAAAAAAAAAATTTTAGGCAAAAAATTATAGAATTTTCAATTTTAAAAAATGATTTCTTTAAAAATCGTTTATCATAAACGTTGTGTACTTCAGCTTTGTAAAATAATTGAATTCAAGTGATTTTGAATTGAAATTTTTTGATGATTTCTGTTGTTGAAGAATTTATTAAAATTAAAGACAAAAATTGAACTTTCAAATTTTTTAATTGAAAAATGCTTTCAGATAATTGAATTTTCGAAGAATATTTTAAAAATCATTAAAAATAATTTAATTTCAGAAGAGTTATATGTATAGTTGCAATTGTTAAATTTCGAAAAGTTTTAGATGAAAATATTTTAAAATAATTAAATTTTAAAATGTTTAAATTAAAATTTTTAAAAATAATTGAATTTTAAAGTGATTTTGAATTAAAATTTTTGGTTATTCTTATTTGCTGAGTTTTTTTTTAATTTTAAAAAATTATTGAAATTCGTAAAATTTTTAATTCAAAAATAGTTTAAGATAATTGAATTTGTGAAGAGTTTCATTAAAATTATTGAAAATAATTAATTTAGAAAAGAATTTTAGTTAAAAATTTGTTAAATAAGTAAAATAAATAAGATCTGAAGAAGATTTGCTTTGTATACCAAAAAAGACGTATTGTGTTTAAAATTTTTGTAAAAAATATAAAAGAAGTCAAAAAATTCGTATCTTATTACAGGCCACGGATCGACTTTAAGGCACAAGAAAAGTCGTTTTAGTCGATTTATATTCCAAAAAAAGTCGAAAAATTCGAATTTTTTTTATTTTAACAACATTTAATTGATTAATAAATATTTTACTTTAAATAACTAATGTTATTAGATATTAAATTCATTTTATTAATTCTGTAATGAAAATAATTCTATAAAAAAATATTATCAAGAAAATTTATTTTGAATATTTCAGAATCGAACTAATTGTAAGATAAATTTTCAAAATTTTATTTAAATTGGGCAAAGTTTTAAGTTTTTACTTTTGATGGTGAAAAAAATTTTCGACAATACTTAATCAAGTTTTACAGATTTTTAAATAAAAAATTTTTGTTAAATAATAATAATTTTGGAAGAGTTAAAGTTGAAATTTTTAGAAATAATTGAATTTCAAAAGATTTTGTTAATTTTCAAACAATAATTAAAGTTTACAGAACTTAAAATAATTTATCAAATAATTTTAGATAACATTTTTTAAAATGTAATTGAATTTTCAAAGATTTACAATTTTGATTATTGAAATTAATTGAATTTCAAGAGATTTTTAATTTAAAATTTTTGATGATTTCACTAATAAAATTTATTAGAAATTGCAGACAAAAATACATTCATTTTAAAACCTTTTTTAAGTGAAAAATGATTTCAAATAGTTGAATTTTTGAAGAATATTATAAAAATCATTAAAAATAATTGAATTTCAGAAGAGTTATAATTGAAATTATTAAATTAAAAAAAAAAATTTAGAATGAAAATTTTAGAAATAAATAAATTTTCTAAAAAAATTTGGAAAATAATTGAATTTTAAAATATTGTGTTAAATTTCAGCCAATAATTATAATATGAGAAATTTCTAATTATTTCTATTGATGTAGAATTTATTAGAAATCACATACAAAAATTAAATTCCAAAAGTTTTTAATTGAAAAATGCTTTCAGATAATTTAATTTTTCAAGAATATTATAAAAATCATTGAAAATAATTGAAATTTTTGCACATAATTCAATTTCAAGTGATTTTCAATTAAAAATGTTTGGTAATTTTATTTGCTAATGTTTTTAAAATTATAATCAATTATTAAATTTTTATAAAAATTTTAATTGAAAAATGATAATTGAATTTGTGAAGAATTTTAATTAAAAATTTGTAAAATAATTGAAATAAAGAAGATCTCCATTGTGTACTAAAAAATACGTATTTTGTTTACAAATTTTGTAAAATAATTTTTTAAAAAAACTCGAAAAACTCGTATAATCCGAGGCTTGAATGTAGTTTTTTTTTTTTAAAAACTTACCTTGAGTTTTGCATGTTATAGAGTAATGATGGAACAATTTTATCCATATGAACGGGTTCCCAAATATTCTCAACAAGATCATCGGATAGTGTTTTTCTCACAACACCCTGCAAGCCCTGAATTCCCGCAAGTCGTATCTGTTTACGTATTGTGGTATCGTCATGATTGGAGTGGCACATCGCAGAGAATTTTGATACAAAGAAATCGTAACGTGTGTGATAAGACGGCGTGTCGTCTTCGATGTTGGCAAATTTAACAAACTGGAAATTGAAAGAAATTTGTTCAACTGAATTAAAAGCGTAAGTAATATTTCTCGTTGGATGAAAAACGCACATTAAATAGCGAAAACATACCAATAAAGCAATGAATCAGTTTTTTTTTGTTAATGAAGTTTCTATCAAATATTATTGTTAATATATATATATATATCTAGATATGATAAAAGAATTTCTAAAGGAAAAATGCAATCATACAATATATTTAGATACAAAAAAAAAACTCACTGATTGTGTAGCTAAAATTTGTAATTGTGGATCCGTTGATTCCAATAGTTTTTGAACCATTTTTAAAAAACTCTCGACAAATAAATTTAATGTTTGTGCATGACACGCCACCAATAGTTGATCCATTGCCTCCATTGCAATAATGACGAATCCATTTCGTCGTCTGGAAAAACGTCGTTTACTTCAATTAGGCAAAGTGTTTTGTACTTATTGCTTTTGGTTAAATTGGATTTGATTTTTTTTTATTTCTTAAGGGGTTATGTTTAGTTGCATTTTTTAAGGAAAAAAAAAAAACAAAATGATATTTGACATTTTTTTTCATTTTAATAATTTTTTTATTTACAAGAAAAAAGAAGCATTTTAAATAAAAATACATAAATTTAAGTGACTTAAAAGAATGAGAGAATAAAAAAAAAGTTTTAAATATTTTAAAGGAATTAAAAATTTTTTATTTATTTGTAGTATAAAAATTTGTGTCAAAAATTGTTTAATAGTTTAATTATAAATAAAAAAAAAACATTAATTGCAGCTCTTTGAAATAAAAATTATTTTCAAAAATCTAAATTAAAATTTTTTTTCAACTAGTTTTTCACATCTATTTTCAAATATTTTCAAAAATTTTTAATATTGAAAATCTTCTAAAATTTAATTATTGACAAAAAATTTAACTACTGAATTATTTAAAATTTAGATATTTAAAAAAAAATTTAACTAAAATTTCTTCGACAAATTACCTAATTATTTTTAATTATTTTAATGAAACTCTTGACAAATTCAATTATCTTAAACTATTTTTTAATTAAACATTCTTTAATATTTAAAGAACAAAATTTTTTTTTCCTCTCAATAAATAATGTAATATGTATTTTATAGTAAAAATAAATTTTCAAAAATCTCTATTCTGCAAAATGCAGGTCAAACGGAGACAATTTTTCAAAATTTCAATTAAATAGGAAAATTTTCTATAAAAAATTATTTAAGTTACATTTTAATAATTTTTTAAAGTCTGATTTAAGCAATTTATTCGAATTTTAAAATTTTAACATAGTTTTTTGTATTAATGGTCACAACAATTTAGGATAATAATTAAATTTAGATTTTGAAATTAATTTTTTTTTAAAGTAATTGAGTTGTAGATTTTTAATTTTGAAATAAATTTTCTGCAAATTTAAATAGCTCTAGGTTTTTTTTCAGGGTTTCTACAAATTGCTCTTCGTGAAATTCCATGATTTTTCCATGATTTCCAGGTGATAAATGATAAAACTTCCATGGTACTTTAATTTAAAATTTACTATAAATATAAATTATGACGAATTAAAATACTGAAAATAGGTCATTTTCAACGAACGTGTAAATTTGAATCTTAGATCATGGAATTGAAAAAATTCCATGAGATTACCATGATTCCATGATCAAAAATGAATTTCCATGACATTTACATGATTTCCATGTTTTCCATGATTTGTAGAAACCCTGTTTTTTTTTTTAATTTCGGACAACAATTTAATTTTAGAGTTATTATTTCGTACTCTTTTATATAATTGAATTTCCAAAGAAATATTAAAATTATTGAAAATTATTGTATTTCATAAAAATTTTTAAAATTACATTTTACAGAATTAAAAATAATTTATGAAGTAATTTTAGATAACATTTTTTAAAAGTAATTGAATTTTTAAAGATTTAGAATTCAGATTTTTGAAATTAATTCAACTTCAAGTGATTTTTAATTGAAATTTTTGGTGATGAAGAATATATTAGAAATTACAAAAAAAAAATGAATTTCAAAAGTTTTTAATTGAAAACTGCTTTCAGATAATTGAATTATCGAAGAACATTATAAAAATCATTAAAAATAATTGAATTTCGTCAGGGCTATAGTTGAAATTATTAAATTTCAGAAAGTTTTAGATGGAATATTTTAGAAATAATTAAATTTTAGAAGCTTTTAAATAGAAATTTTTAAAAATAATTGAAATTTAAAGTGATTTTGAATTGACATTTTTGGTAATTTTATTTATTAAATTTTTTGAAAAAAATTTTAAAAATTATTGAATTTCTTAAAATTTTTTAATTAAATAATAGTTTAAGATTATTGAAATTATCTCTTCACAAATTCAATTATCTTAAACTATTTTTTAATTAAAAACTTTAAGAAATTCAATAATTTTTAAAATTAAAAAAAAAACTCAACAAAAATAAAATTACCAAAAATGTAAATTCAAAATCATTTTAAAATTCAATTATTTTTAAAATTTTCAATTAAAATTCAATTAAATAAAATTAAAATTATTGAAAGTAATTAATTTAGAGAAGAATTTTAGTTAAAAATTTGTTAAATAAGAGAAATAAATAAGATCTGAAGGAGATCTGCTTTGTATGACAAAAAGGACGAATGGTGTTTAAAATTTTTGTAAAAAATATAAAAGTCGAAAAATTTTTTTTTACTGGAACAGTTTTTTCGAAATCTTTATGAAAAATAAGAAAATACGTATTTTTTATGTTTTGATTTGATAAAAATTATGAAAGTTATGATTTTTCAAAATTTAACGTCGTCAGAAGCAGAATACTTTTAAAAACTATTTTCAAAATAAAAAAATTTTCATCATTTTCTCTTTTTTACTAGCAGATAAAAACTATTTACTATTTACCAAAGTATTAAGCCAATCAAAATATTTATTACAATGAAAAAAAAATTTTTTTTTCCCTACTATCTTTTGAATTTGTGAGACTTCGTTTATTAATTTAAATTTTAAATTAATGGAAATTTCTTCTAATTTTTAGTCGTTTTTCACTAAAAATAGTATAAAAAAAATATATTACTATAGATGAAATAGTAAATATTTTACTAAAAGTTAGTGGAAATTTCTGCTAATTTGAATTAGTGAACGAATTCTCACAAATTCAAAATTAGAAAGTCGGACAACTAAATATAACCCCTTAAATTGTTTAAATTTGTTGTTTTTCTTAAATTACCTATAAATATCCCTTGATGCTCGTTGAAATAAATATTCGCCTATTCGATCCAATTTTTCAGGACTACTGAGCGAATAAAATGTCAACTTTTCCATATTATTTTTGACCAAGCCATCCTAAAAAAAAGATTATTAATATTTTACGAATAAAAATTTACAACTTCATTTTCTTCACCTTGACATATATAATTATTTTAAGAGTTCAAAAATAGTCGCGAACATCTTTTAAATAATTACATGTAATTTAAATTTCCCGCCTTAATAATATGTTATCTTTTATCTTTAAATCACAAAGACAAAAAGAATTTCTTCCTGAATCTATTATTATTAAATAACTTATGGCCATAACCTTCATTTATAAATGATATAACATTGCATCCATTGTATATATTACAAAGGTATATATATGCAAATGAACTTCCATGAAATTTCGTTACAAATATTGGAAATTAGGTTAAGGTCACCAATTACGTCATCGCCAATAAAATGAGCCAAAATATTATAAATAAAAATTCGTACAAAAATTTCTGCAAATCTCGTAAAAATTAAAAAAAAAAAAATCAAAAAGATAAAATGTAACGATATTTTTGAATCCGTTATAAAATTTATTTTTGTAAAAATAAAAAAAATCAATTTTCAACTTCAAATTTTCGGTCCTGACAAAAATGTATTTATATTTAATTTATTTATATTTAACGTTAAAACTAATGAAAAATAAGTTAAAAATAGTAATTAAACTATATAACAGTTATTTAAAAATAGTAATTTATTTCAAAAATAGTAACATTTATAGTTAGAAATACAGTAATTTTATTTTTATAAATAGTAATTAATTGAAAAATAGTTATTATAGCTAAAAAAATTGTAAATTAAAAATCAATTTTAAAAATTGTAATTAATTTAAAAAATAGTAGTTAACTTATACAAAAAGGAGATAAAAAATTAAAAACAAAAAATTTGCAAAAAAAAAAAAACGTACCTGAGGATTTACAGGAAAAATATTATCAACGAGCCTTTTGTATCTTGGACGAAGTGCTGAACAACACCAACAGCAACCTGAGGCACAAAAAAAAGATAATATAAAAACACGAAAATCATGTTAATTTTGCCAAAACTATTCAATTATTATACCTAACATGTTTTAATGATTTTATTATTAATCCAGACAACAAAATTTTGACACTTGCGATTTTCTCTACTGCTTCGATCCAATTCAAGTTAACACGTCACAAACGTCATTTGAAAAGTGCGGGAATTACGAATTTTAATATTATAATGAACATACACAATTTTCTACATTTTTTTAAAACAATTTTTATTAAATTCTTTTTGTTGAATTATTTATTAATTTGCGTTATTTGTAATTTATTTAATTGGATTATTTAGGAGTTTTGTAAATTAAAATTATTTTTTATTTATCGACACAGCATTTTATTAAGAATGAAATGCGATTTTTCTTCGTTGGTGACGCTAATGTTTGTCTGGACGCTACTGCCATCTGAGAAGAATTTTAAGGGTACTAAAATTTATTTGGCGCTCAATATATGAAACCGAGTGAAACAAAAGGACAATAATTTATCATCAAGTAGGTTTATTTTTCTTTCTTTAATAATTATATAATAATAAAATGCTTGGTCTGTCCTTCTGTCCTAACTTGAAGTTGGCCTTTTCTGATTTTATGTGTTTTTTTGAATAGTAATCTTATGACGTGTCAAATTTTGACAATTCTTTTTCTCATTTTTGCCAAAGTTGTATAATTGTGTTTCCAAATTTCGGAGTAAGTTCCTTTAAAATTCCAAATTCGAAAATTCAATTCACGAAGCTAAAGTACACAACGTTTACCAACGAAATTTTTTTAAAGTTGTATATTGATTCAAAAATTGTATACAAATTTATGATGAGAAAAAAGATGCGCCAGGAAATTTCGTACAAGATAGTAATATGAAAAAAATTAATTTTTAAGGTACCAGGGGCCAACGAATACCTATTAAATATTAATTATAAAAACACAGGCCTCGAATCAACTTGAAGACACAAAAAAGTCGTTTTAGTCGATTTATATTCCAAAAAAAAGTGGATTTGATTTTTATTTTAACAAAAATATTTCACAGATTTTTAAATAAAATTTTTTTTTTTAATAATAATTCTTTTCGAAGGGTTAAACTTGAAATTTTTAGAAATAATTAAATTTCAAAAGATATTGTTAATTTTCAAACAATTATTAAATTTTACAGAACTAAAAATAATTCATCAAACAATTTTTGGGAAAATATTTTTTAAATTTAATTGAATTTTCAAAGATTTAAAATTGAGATTTTTGAAATTAATTGAAACTTTAAGTGTTTTGTAATTAAAATTTTAGATGATTTCACTAAAAATTTATTAGAAAATGCGGACAAAATACGATAATTTGAAAATCATTTTTAATTGAAAAATGGTTTCAGATAGTTGAAATTTCAAAGAATATTATTAAAATAGTTAAAAATAATTGAATTCCCTTAGAGTTATAAATGAAATTATTAAATTTCAAAAAAAAAAAATTTTTCGATGAAAAATTTTAGAAATAATTAAATTTTAGATGCTTTTAAATTCAAATTATTGAAAATTCAATTAATTTTGAATTCAAATTTTTGAGAATAATTAAATTTTATTTGATTTTAAATTTGGAAAATAATTGAATTTCAGTTCATTTTGAATTGAAAATTTTGGGAAATAATTGAATTTTAATTGAAATTTTTGATAATAATTTAATTTAAGTTCATTTTTTATTGAAAATTTGGATAATTAATTTTGAATAGAAATTTTAGAAAATAATCGAATTTTATTTCATTTTAAATTGAAAACTTGGTAAATAATTAAATTTTAAATTGAAAATTTTAGATAATTATTGGATTTTTAATTGATTTTGAATTAAAATTTCTTGTAATAATTGAATTTTAGTTTATTTTGAATTGAAATTTTTAAAAAATAACTCAATTTTATTGTGATATTTTTTTTTAAATTATAAACAATTGTTAAATTTCATAAAAATTTTAATTGAAAAATAATTTTGATATAATTGAATTTGTGATGTACACTGCGACCTGAGTTTAGCGAAATCTTGGAAACGGCAACAATAGGATGGTAATTAAGCGGTAAGCGTAAGATGCTCCGACTCGAGCAGGAGCGTAGAAGTAAGACAACGCGGTTCCTTCTATAGTTGAAAATGAGTACCAAGCGGAGACGTTTGTCTGGGAGGTACAAGGTTTTTTAATCTTTAATTTTAAATAAAAAATTTGTTAAATTATAAAAGCTTATTTATATACATGTATACAAATTTTATTTTTGTTTTCACTCCCAGCAAATTTATAAATTTACTTTATGAAAATCTTAATTTTAATATTTGCTCTCAATGTTATATTTGATGAAATTTATATTATTTAATTTTAAATAAATTTAAAATTTATAAGGCAAATGGTGAGTTTTTTCCCTTTCTTGTCTGATGTCAGTACAATTATTTGAATTTTTATTAAAAGTAATTTTAAGTATTACTTATTACTGTTTATAATTATAATAAAATCTAAAAATTAAAATATAATTAGAATAATTATTGCAATAAAAATATTATGTATTATAAGATGAAGAAACAAAAAATGTCGCATTTTATTAAAATAAGTCGATAAAAGTCGTATTTTTGAAAAAAGTCGGAAAAAGTTTATAATCCGAGGCCTGTAAACATATAATTTTCATTATTATCATTTAATATGTAATAATATTCTAATAAATTAAATTATTATTGATAATATTAATTTTTAATTTCTTTATAACAAACAATTAAATACTCAATAATCTATTATTGACAATATTGTTTGATAGTTTAAAAAAATATATTTTTGGCAATTTTTTTCTTTTAATAAAAATTTTACTTTTAAAAATTTGAATTATTTGCATTTTGAATAGGGTCAGTTGGGGTAAATGGGGACAAAATCCCTATTTTTCACAAATTACGTAAGTTTCTTCCTTTAAAAGGTAATATTTGCGGGTTTATATTTTTTTAAGTTGCTATTTACATTCTCAGAATTAATTTTATGCCAACAGAAAAAAATTTAGATAAGCTTTAAACGCTTGAAACTGATTGTTCCCATTTACCCCAAGATTTAGAAAATTTTCTAAAATTTGAGGTAAATGCGGACAGCATAGTTTCTAAGAAAGGTTTAAGAAAAAAGTTTCCTTAAGTATTTATTACTGTATTAAGGGATGAAAAAACTTGAAAAAATTTGTAGTACATATATAATAGTTGAAACAATTGAAATTTTTTTATTTTGCTTCCTCGTGGAGGAAGCTTTGTAGTCCTTTCGTTATATTTATAAAAATTTTCAAAGTGGCGGAAACAAATTTTTTTTCTATATAGAAACATGTTATATGAGATGCTGATCAATTGTCTGGATGTATATATGTGTATGTGTATGTGTATGTGTATATGTATGTGTATGTGTATGTGTGGACCCCTTTTTTGTTTAGACGATAACTTTAACAGGTTTTAATGGGTTTAGATAAAATTTGGTAGACTCATTTAACATAATATTAATATCTCAAATCTGACCAAAGGATTTTAAAAAATACCCAAAAAAAAAAATTATCGTCTTTCTAAAAAAATTATTTTAATCGAAAAATTTTTAAATAGAAAAATTTAAGGTTATATATACCGTAAAATAGGGTAAAGTCGGCGTTTGCGGGTAAAGTCGGCCGGCGCTTTAAACACTTAAATATTGTATTTCATTTATTAATTTACATTAATTCTAACTACATTTTTAATAAAACTCGGATTTCTTCTGGAAAAAAGTAATAGTTAAACTTTAAAATGATTTAAAGCGCCGGCCGACTTTACCCCCAAACGCCGACTTTACCCCATTTTACGGTAATACAATCGTATTCCTTAAGTTAAGACAAATCGATTGGTATATATAAAGTATAGTTTCAATTTAAATTTAAAGAATTAATGAAAGTTAAAAAATCAAAAATTCACATTTTGTCAATAAAATTTTGTGATTTTTTAAATTCAAGTTTAAATATAAAATAATTGTGTTCCTTGTATTGAAACAAACCAATATAATTGTAAATAATTATAAATTATATATTATTTTTCATTAATTTTTAGAAATTTCAACTAGAATGTGAATTTTTGATTTTTTAACTTCCATTAATTTTTTAAATTTAACTCAAATGTATACTCAAATGTATACTCAAATGAATACTCAATTGTCAAGATAAAAGCTTGGCAATACTCAAAACCTCTTGTAAGTGGTCTGAGGTTAAAATATTGATGTTGAACTTAATTTTAAAACTGTAAATTAAGCTCCAACAACTCTTGTCCCCATTTACCCCAACTGACCCTACAAATTTTCTGATGCAGAATAAGAAAAGATGTAACTTTATTTTTAATAACTTAAAATGTTAAAAATTTAATTACGTCTATACTTTACTGTTTTTTTTGTTAAAAAATAAATAAAAAATAAAAAAATAAATTTTATAAAAATATATGAAAATAAAATTGTGAATTTATCAATTTGATTTAATTTGGGAAATTTTCTTTTTCTTCAATACCCTCAAAATGGATAGAATTTAAAAAAATTTATTCACTTAAAATTTTTAATTCCAAAAATATTTGAAAATTATGAATTCCGTTGTAAAGAACACATTAATGATTTTTTTAATCCCAAATAATTTCTATTGAAATGGGTGACGTTGAAAAATTTCTATTCCAATAGTGGAATTGGTTTATTTTTTTATTTCTTGAATTTTTTTCAATGCAAAAAACTCTGCTTTTCTACATTATCGACATATGTTAATCAAAGTTTAATCCTGTTTATGGAATTCATTATTTCGATTGTTTTCAATCACAGTATGATATATTTCTGGAATTGAATTAAAAGGAATAGAAAATTCACATATTTCTGTCTTATACGTGGAAGTAAAGAAAGGAGGGAATTCTCCGAATTAAATGGAATTAATATTTTTAATATTCTATTCAATTCCAGTTTTTTACCGTGCCTTTAATGAAAAAATTTTTTTTTGAATTTTATTTTTTTGTAAAGTATTTATTATTATAAAAAATATAAGAGTATTACCTGCCAGAAAAATGGGAATCAAAATTTTGTAATTTTAAATCTCCAACGGGACGCATGATTATGTTATAAAAATCATTAGTTAGAATTTTCATTTTATGGAATTTCATTTGTCATAAAATTATTTTTAAGCCAAATTTATATTTGTTCGAATTATAGTATTTTGCAGAATTTTGATCGAAACGATTTTCTATATTACAGAATTTTTATATAACCGAAAATTCACTTCACAGAATTTTTATTTACTCGAATTTTTATTTTGCATAATAGGCATTTTAAAGAATTTTTATTAATTAAAATTTCATTGCATAAAATTTTCTTTCAGATGAATTTTAATTTGCTTTAATTTTTAGTTCTGATGACTACAGATATTTTTCTTTAATTTTGAATAGTTTTTATAAGATGGTTTTTGTAACATCTTTGATAGTACCGAGTAGCATAATGATGGTACCGGATAACATCTACTTTTTACCATCTTAAGATCATAAGTTCTTACCATCTATTTCTCTCCGTGTATCCTCATTAGTAATTAATAAGCAGAAACTTAATCTTTGTTCTCTCGAAAGAGTGTTCCACTTTTTTTGCCAAAAAGTTTGTTAAAAAAAGTTTTTCAGGATCTTAATAAAATTTGGTATTCTAGGATTTTTGGGGTCGCTGATTACCAATTTGAAGTCAGTTTTTCAAAATTCATAATGGCGGATCCAATATGGCGGACGAAAATTAAAAATTCATTGGATTCGCTCGAAAATCGTTACTCGGGGGTTTTCAGGGTTGCTGATTACGAATTGGAAGTCAGTTGCCATTTTGAATTTTAAAAATCTGACTTCAGATTCGTATTCAGCAACCCCGAAAACCCCCGAGTGTCAAGATTCAAGCAAATTTGATCATTTTTAAAAATAAGTTTTAGGAAAGTCCGACATATTGAATACGCCATTTTGAATTTAAAAAATTTGACTTTTATTTTTGTATTTACATTCAATCACTCCAAAATACTTTCTGTAGCAAGTTTTGCAAAAATCCGTTATGATTTGATAAAGTTATTGAAGGTTTTAATTGTGTAATGCATTTTAATTTTTAACCTGTTTGATTTTTGTATTTATATATGATGCATTATTACATAATAGGTTTATTATCGTATTTTTTTGAGTTTTTATATAAGTTTAACAATTGCAATACTTTAAATTTATTTTCCCTAAGATTTTTCTGAAATACAGTGCCGTTCGTATTTACCCCGGTATTTTAGGAAAGTTGCAAAGTATCGAGGTAAATACGAACGCTAAGTTTCCTGCGATTGTAATTTATCAAAAATTTTTGCTACCCCATAAAATTGTTCTATGGAAGTAAAGTAACAACTTTATGCACCAGAATACCGGAAGTATTGTCTTTTAAAAGAAAAAACTTATGTTATTGTTGAAACTTACTAAAAGAGTTCGGATTTACCCCGGCTAACCCTAAATGTTATTTGTTTCAAATATAAAAATTATTGGTTCAAATACAATTTATTTAATTCAAATAAAAGTTATTTTATTTAATTAAATAATTATTTGATAATAGTCAAGTGATCGAGTATTTGAAGAAGTTTTTATAAAATTAAGAAAATATGAAGATGGACTAATTTTTTCGATTTTGCATAAAATATGTAATTTTCTTTCTCCATTTTGGAAAAATGCGGAAATAATTATATTTTTTAAAAATTTGATTTTAAATTTAATTGAAATAATTTTTTAATATTATGTACATGTATATATAAAAAAAATCTGAAAATTTTCATTAACAAATTTGACTAAAATAATGTATATGTTATTTTTAAAAATTTATCTTTGTCATGCAGCGTGTAATTATAGTTTGTATTTATTCATTTGAATGCATCTAACCCACACTTTGTTATATATATATAGCTATGTGAAATATCAAGTCTTCGAAAATCAATATGTTCAGCTACTCAATATTTCCATTTAGCGAATCATATATCTGAAATACTCGCATATAGGCCACCAAACAAATGTTTCAATAATGAAAAAATATTCTAATATAGATCAAAATATATACTTCTAAGTATATTTTTATCAATATTACATTTTATAATTATCTAAGTTTCATATTTTTTTATCTAAAGATAAAAAAATACATTTAAAAAACCATTTAAGTCGAAACTTTTTTTAATATTCTTGTAAATGAATTAAAGAACAAAATGAATAAGTGAAAAAAAGAAAATTTATTTTACATATAATATATTTCTCAACTTTAGTTATTCTTATTATATAATTTAAATTTTTTAAGCTCAATTATTATTGTAAATGAATAAATAAAATATTACCTGATATAATCGTTATTATGATAACATTATTATTATTATTATTATTATTTATATATATTTTCCGTATATTTTCAATAAATAAACAATAAATTATTATTATTATATTATGTAATATTTTTTATATTTTATTATTATCGAGAATATATAATTCGTGATATATGAAAACAATAAAATCATTTATTTTTAAAAAACAAAAATCAACATTTTGTAAATATTTTTTTTTTTTATTAATGTGTATCGAGGGTCAACTTTTGATCAATGAGGGTAAACATTCATTTTTCAAAGGAAAAAAATCGTTGAGAACTGAAGATGTGAGAGTGAATGAAGATATATGTTATTATTATATACGTATATAGAAACTCATTTTACAGAATTGTGTGAGTTGTTTTTTCAATAAAATCGCGTCGTTTATGTTCTCCCCTATTATATTATAGTCAAAAGCATACCCAACACAAAAGATAGATATTTTTATATAAAACAACTTTAATTAAATTAAAATCTCTGCCTTTTTCTTAGAAAATTTCTTATTTCATTAAAAAAAAAAATTATTACTATGTATTAAATTTAAAAAAAAAAATCAAAAATTTTATGTAAAATATTTAAGAAATTAAATAGAGTCATTTGCAATTTCTGTAGCTTTAATTTGATGTTGTCTGCGGAATATTCTCTCTTCTTCAGTACAATTTTGAGTATTAGATTGCGTGACTCAATACCGCGTAACTACCATAAAGGGCTCAACGCTTCTTCGCTAAAACTCACTCTCTAAATCTGAATTAGTAAAAATGTTTACTAATTTAAATTAGTGACTCACTTTTTGCTTTAGAATTAGTTAAATTTTACTAATTGTTAGTAAAAGTTACTAATAATTAGTAAAATTTTACTAATTTAGAAGCAAAAAGTGAGTCACTAATTTAAATTAGTGAACATTTTTACTAATTCAGATTTAGAGAGCACATATCTCGTGTCAAAATTAATCGAATCAGTCTGAAATTATCAGAAAATACTTCGCGAAATGGTCTACTTTCCGAAAATGAAGAAAGCCCAAAATTACCTAGATTACTATTTATCAATTTTTGAAAACTTACTCCCTCAATTCGAAGCGTTACACACCGAAAAAAAACAAATTCTAAATTTAAGAATATCTTCTTTGAGCTTATTTAAGAATATTTTCTATACATTTTATTCGGGTGCAGTTCCGAATAGCACATACCTCTGATTTCGATAAAACTTGGTATCCCTACGTAATTTGGTGCGCTGATTACGAAAATCATAGTGAAAATTGGCGGAAATTTAATTATCATGGTAAAAACCATAAAAAACACCATAAAATCATGGTTTTTTTCGATTATCTCGTAAAAAACAAAAAACTTCGAAAAAAGTTTTAGACGAAAGTTGTAGATCTCTAAAAAACACACATTTCATGTTTTATGCATTTTTTACCAAAAGTCATTATTTTTCGAGAAAAACGCAAAATAGTAAACACGGCCTTCGGCCGCGTAAGGTACTGCTCGCTTCTCTTTTTAAGAAATCTTGGCGAGAGGGGGTGGATGTGTCCGAAAGTAATTTGCAGAAATTATCATATTCACCATTACTCAGGATCCAACGAATTCCGCAAAATACTTTCGGCCATATCCACCCCCTCTCGCCAAGGTTTTTTTAAAAAGAAAAGCGAGCAGTACCTTACGCGGCCGAAGGCCGTGTTTACTATTTTGCGTTTACCGCTGCTGTAGACTCCACCCCACAATTTCTGCAAATTACTTTCGGACACATCCACCCCCTCTCGCCAAGATTTCTTAAAAAGAGAAGCGAGCAGTACCTTACGCGGCCGAAGGCCGTGTTTACTATTTTGCGTTTTTCTCGAAAAATAATGACTTTTGGTAAAAAATGCATAAAACATGAAATGTGTGTTTTTTAGAGATCTACAACTTTCGTCTAAAACTTTTTTCGAAGTTTTTTGTTTTTTACGAGATAATCGAAAAAAACCATGATTTTATGGTGTTTTTTATGGTTTTTACCATGATAATTAAATTTCCGCCAATTTTCACTATGATTTTGGTAATCAGCGCACCAAATTACGTAGGGATACTAAGTTTTATTGAAATCGGAGGTATGTGCTATTCGGAACTATATCCTTTTATTCTTAAAATTAGAATATACTTAAAAAAAAATAATTCTTAAAATAACAAGTAGTTATTAATTTAGAATTCTTTCTGGTTTTAAAAGTATTTTATTCTAATTTTAAGAATAAAATTCATAGAAATTATTCATAAGGCGCTAAAAAGATATTCTTAAATTTAAAATTACGTTTTTTCGATGAATATAGTTAAATCTATTCATATTTACTTACATCCAGGGTCAGTGCACTTTTTGACAACAGTTTCAAAAACTTCCTTTGCATCAGTCTCAAAGCAACACCTGATGAGAGCCATAATATCACCCACGTGACTATATAATAATAAACCAACACACTAAAAATGTTAAAGTTCATATAGAGATGAATTTCTTTTCTCCCACTTCACCATTTATTTACTTATGGTTTTTGCGCGGGAAAAAATGGTTCAACTTTTAAGCGAGACAACCGACGACCCACCTCCTCGATGAGACGGTGGTTATGGCATCGAAGCGCCTTTTGTTCTACTAACCTCCATTGTATAATACAAGAGAGTGCGGGGCGGGATACCTTTGGTTTTGCTTTGTGACGTCATGTGAACACGAAGGGCGCCTGTGCTGCAGAATCTGGAATGGTGAATCTTATTCATTGCGGTCACGTGGCTGACACGCGGTCTGATATGTATATTGGTGACTCTCCAGAAACTGGTCATTTTGGGGGAAGAATTTTTTTTTCAAAGTATAACTGTAAATTCAATGTCCTTTATCAATTTATATTTACAATACCTATTCATCCATTGCACTTCCACCCATAGCGAATTAAGGGGAAGTAGCACCTTTGATCTCATAAAAAGTAGATTTTTTTTTGCTTAATCGGTACTATAAAGAGTATGAAATATAATTTCAATCATAAAAGTTGGTACGCGAATTGTTTTACGTAAAAAATATAAAAATTTATAAAAGATGTCATAGCTCACTATGAGTACCTCTTTTGAGTGAATGCTACGCTACTGCTTGTGTTCCCCCACTTTTTATTGAGATGTCAAAATGTCGGACGCTTCTTTCTCCAAACAGTACACTTTGTTTATGTTTTTATTTAATTTTTTTTTTTTTGATCTTATTTGAATAAATTTATATTGAAATTATTAGGAATTTATCAACAGTGTGCATTATTATTTATTTTTAATGAAACATGAAATATAATCAACACATTATAGGTTATGTTTGCTATGTTCAAAACAAAAGCAGTCATTTTAGATTTTTAACTGATTTAAAGGTTGGCACTACTGTACACTGAACATGTTACTGCTACTAGACGGCTGTTTAGTAAAGCCTACTCTTATATTGGTCCGTCGAAAATTAACAATACTGTTTAGTTACCACAAACGAACCGAGAGTCTTACTCACTATCCAGTTCTCTCCGTGTTGAAGTATACAAACCGGTATAACATGGTAAAACTTAATAAAACAACTTTTTTGTAAGCATTTAGGATCACTGAATACAAAACTAAAGTTCATTTTTCAAAATTCAAAATGGAGAATTCAAAATGGCGGACTAAAACAATGCAATTTTGAAACACAAATTTTTTTGTTCAAACTGTGGTATTTTAATGTTTTTGAGGTCGCTGAATCCAAATATGATGTTAAAATTTAAAAATTCAAAATGGCAGACCCAAAATGTCGGACGAAAATTTTTCAAAGTACTTAGGTTTCAAGGAGACTTGGTACTTTGACGTTTTCGAGGTCGCTCAATTCAAATATGATGACAAAATTTAAAAATTCAAAATGGCGGATCCAATATGGCGGACAGAAAAATTTAAAAAGTGATTAGATTTCAATGAGACTTGGTACTTTAACGTTTTCGAGGTCGCTCAATTCAAATATGATGACAAAATTTAAAAATTCAAAATGGCGGGTCCAATATGGCGGACAGAAAAATTTAAAAAGTGATTAGATTTCAATGAGACTTGGTACTTTAACGTTTTCGAGGTCGCTCAATTCAAATATGATGACAAAATTTAAAAATTCAAAATGGCGGATCCAATATGGCGAACAGAAAATTTAAAAAGTGCTTAGATTTCAATGAGACTTGGTACTTTAACGTTTTCGAGGTTGCTGAATTCAAATATGATGACAAAATTAAAAAATGCAAAATGGCGGATCTAATATGTCGGACAAAATATTTATAAAATTTTTAGATTTCAACGAAGCGTAGTGATTATAAATTTTTTTTTATATGAGTCGCCGGAAAGTAAAACCACACATAAAATTCTGACGGCCATGTTAATTCAATGGGAGTAAGAATTTTATGTGAGGTTTTACTTTCCGGCGACTCATATATTCATATTGAGCATTATATTTGAAGTCTGTGACTAGAAAAATAATAAAACACTACGCTTCGTTGAAATCTAAGAATTTTATAAATATTTTGTCCGCCATATTGGATCCGCCATTTTGCATTTTTAAATTTTGTCATCATAATATGAATTTAGCGACCTCGAAAACGTTAAAGTACCAAGTCTCCGTGAAATCTAAGCACATTGAAAAATTTTCGTCCGCCATTTTGGGTCCGCCATTTTGAATTTTTAAATTTTAACATCATACTTGGCTTCAGCGACCTCAAAAACGTTAAAGTACCACAGTTTGAACAAAAAAATTTTTGTTTCAAAATTGCATTGTTTTAGTCCGCCATTTTGAATTCTCCATTTTGAATTTTGAAAAATGAAATTTAGTTTTGTATTCAGTGATCCTAAATGCTTACAAAAAGTTGTTTTATTAAGTTTTACCATGATATACCGGTTTGTATACTTCAATTTACCATTTTTTCCTAAAAAATGTTAACTTCACTCGACTCCCAGGAGCTCAAAAAAAAAATAAATCAAGGGTTCCCTATAATTTTCCTCTATTCTACATTTATTTAGCTTTATTTTGGTTCAAGGTTCATTCAATTTGGTCAATGTGTTCAAGAGACATTAGGTTTTGAACATGAAATTGCAAAAATAACACACTGTGCGCAGGTAGGTTTTTTGACGCTTCTGTTACACGCCAAATTAAATTATTGTGCAACTATTTTGAGGATAACTTTAGTAGAATGAAAAAGTTTCTTTGTGAAACAAATTTTAACATTGATAATCATTCATTTATTTTGACTATGATTTTTCTGTCTATAAATGCATTAAAAAAAAATTTGGCAGGTATGTTTTTTGAAGTTTTTTATGCTCTTTCCTATGGTAAATTTTGATTTTTAAAATTTTTGAATTTTGACCTTGATTGTCTATAATTAAACATAAATTTACTATTATCTCTAAAATCGGTGCGTTTTTAAAAATAAATAATTGCAACGAAAGCCGAGGTTTTTTCCGATCTGTAAATAAATTTTCAAAATGCCGATTTTTTTTTGTTTTCGAGAAATTAAATGTCAAAGATTTTATGTCGGCGCGGGAGGTTTGACGTCGAGGATGTATTTGTACATTTGTGATGATTATCCAAATATACATTTACAACTCGACTGCCAATAAACCGGCTGTGCTCGGGAGAGGTTTTCTGTAGTTTTCCTCTCCCCAAGTAGCACGGAATATTAGTTGAATGTCACGGTCATATCAAGTGGAAATATTCCAGTGACATTCAGGCGATATCACAATGTCCGCTTCATGGGGACATTCCACAGTGATATTCCTGTGACATTCGCGTGATATTCGTATGATGCTGAGGGAATATTCCCGTGAAATTCATGTAATATTAAGAGATTAATATTTAATATTAAATGGTACCTTCGAGTCTGTGAAAATAGTGAGGTTAAATATTTTTTGATATATTTCGACGGAACAGTAGCGCCAGCAGTAAAGAAATCATGTAAACTAATGAAAAATTGCGCCAAATTTAACTTAAAACTTTTAAGAAATTTTATTTTTAAATTTGGAAATTTTGTGACATAAATTAATTTTTTTATAATCAATTTAAAATTTTGTTATTAGTAAAAATTTTAGCGCCCATTGACTTGAATTTTGGCGCACGGGGCAACCGCCCGCCCTAAAACCCGGCCTGAATAATATACACGAATCTGTCGATTGGGTTGCGTTGTTCAGATCCGAAATAATACACAGAGAAAAATGGACACTTAAATTTAGTATCTGTATACTCGCGATTAAATATATTATAGATACTTAAATATGGGACAACTATCTATAGATACTCAGAATTAGTATCCTTGGATATTTAATCCTATAAATTAAATGCCACTATCCAAGATATTCACATTTAAGTATCCCAGATACTAAAACGTACCACCTAAACAAAAGCGCGCACAAGCGCGTTGTAGTTTTTTCCTTTTTACGAACACTTTAATAACATAAATAGAAATTATATTTTTTTAAAATACTGTAAAAATAATATATCATTAATAATTAAATTATTGTGAAAAATATTAATGCAAAATTTTTTTCAATAATATTGAATTTATCACTTGGTGAGTGTATATTAAAGTTGTTAAAATTTATCAATCTTCCAAGTCAATTGTAATATTTAAAAAATCGGACAAGTGCGAGTTACACTCGCACTGAAATCAAGGGGTTCCGTACTCGAAGCGAACTTATTTGGTATAAAAACAAATGTTTAAAAAATATGTGTTGTGTATTAAATAATATATGTGATACAAAAATGAACAATTTAAAAAAAAAAATTTAAGAAAATTGTTCCTCCTTTGGTATAAAAACAAAAAAAAATTTAAATATGTGTTGTATTTCAAATAATATAAGTGATACGAAGAGGAACAATTTTCTTAATTACAAAATTGTTCCTCTTCGTATCACTTATATTATTTGAAATACAACACATATTTAAATTTTTTTTTGTTTTTATACCAAAGGAGGAACAATTATCTTAAATTTTTTTTAAAAAATTGTTCCTTTTTGTATCACATATATTATTTAACATACAAGACATATTTTTTAAACATTTGTTTTTATACCAAATAAGTTCGCTTCGAGTACGGAATCCTCGATTTCAGTGTCCGATTTTTTTCGTTTTTGCGGAAAAATACATTTTTTTTATTAAATTTATCATTTTTCTTCAAACATTTGATAAAAATTGATCATCAACTCCAATTGCGCTTACATTTTTCCCCTGTATTTTTCACGCAAAAATACTGTTTTACAGCAAATATGAACAGTTTGGGTTGAATATTATGTGCGCTAGGGAGAATAAATTATTTTTTTCGAAATTTTTTATTTTTCCTTGACAACGATATGTAAATTGATCCGAATCAAGTTCGCTATATTTTTCCTGTAATTTTTACGTAAAAATACGTAAGTGTACCAAATTTGAGCTCTTTATGTCAAAGATGTGGCTGCTAGGGTGGGGTACATAGTCATTTTTAGGTATTTTTCGTAAAAATTCATGGTTTTTCCTTGACAACGCTATGATAATCAACTCCAATCATGCTCGCTATATTTTTTTGTGATCTACACGTAAAAATACGTTAAAATATATAAATTTAAATCCCTTTAAATAAAATTT